GACTCAGTTTCTTACTTCCTGGTAGTAAAGTTGGTTATAAGAAGCTGCCAACGAAAGCCTGTGTTGGAGTCAAGCAGCTCAGGCCTACATGCAGCCAAACATATGCTGCCAGTGGCCATGGTTTTCTTTATAGGATATAAATAGCTGACAATAGCACTGCTATGTGGAGCAGAAAAAGAAGCAGTGGTGCTTCGCTCTTCTGTGGGCTTCATGTGTCTTTAAGTGGGACACCTTTGATGGCATCTTTGTTGTTGAAGCTAAGAGTTTGGCTTGTGGCAAGATGACATGAAAAAAATGGGATATGACAAAGAAATAAAAAACCAATCTGAGGCAAACATCAGTATCTAGATGATGCCCTGAGCACAGAAGAGCCGAGGTTAGGCTGTTCTGGATATTTTTGTTTTTGTTTTTGCCTTGTGAGCTGCAGATTTCATTAATATTGTTCATCCAAGTACAGCGAGTTAATATGTAATTGTGGTATCTCAGTAGTTTTAGTACAGATGTTATTTTATTGCTGCTGTAAAACATTTAATGTTTATTATTCAGTGTAACTTGTGAAATTCAGGTTTCATTGACATTTGAGTGTTTAAGTCATTTGAGTCACCAAAGGAATTTTAATGAGAACTGTCACTTAGTTCCCAGTCCAGTCTAATAAAAACATCAAATGTGTGAGGCAGAAGGAGAGTGGATTGGAGGGGGGTGTAACTGCTGAGCTGATGCATCCAGAAAGTGGGTGAAAATCCTCACGCCTGTTAATCTGAAGGCTTATTCTTATCACAGGAGCAAGTTTGCTACAAACCTCCTCTAACAATATAAGAGAGGATCATTGGCATGCCAGATAGAGCCTAATTTTGCACGTAGCCTCTCTTCTCTCACTCTGAGTGGGATGCTTTTCATACATCTGTTCTCTTTTCTGTGTAAACTAATGATGCTGTTTATTGTGTTTTAATGCAGTTATTCATTGTGGCTTCTGTACACTGTGTTTCAGACCCTCAACCCAAAATGGAACGAAGAATTCTACTTTAGAGTGAGTTCAGATTTTGAAATGCTTTCGTGAATGATGATTATTATTTTTATTTATTTTTGCTTTGACAGTCTGTTATTGCTCTACTTTGGAGCAGGAGTTGTATAGCTGTGAATCTTTGGTTGCAGTTTAACATGGTGATGAAAGCCACGTCTTCCACCCCTGTAATCAAACAGGACGTTATAAGTATAGTGACATGATAACTCTAGACTGAGGGTGTTTAGTTTAGTTCAGTTTGTTAGGTGGTTGCTAGGCATCTATAATTCAAGTTTTTAAAATCAATAACATTTTGTGAAATTAAAACGATAGAATAGTTTATAAGATTTCATGGGTGAATAAATGATACAAATTGGTCATTTCCTGTTGTTACGTAGTTAAGTTGCATAATGATGTCATAATGTGCAATATGGATAACAGCCTTTTAAGAGTATAAGCTGTACCTTTGTGTCAACTTTGATTGCTCAACTCCTGATAGTGTAGGAATTGTTTGCAAGGAAACAGATTTTGTGTATTATAGTAAAATGAGTGCAGCTCAGGCTTCTATTTCGATAATTAGACAGCTGACTGCCTTCTAAGACTCTGCACAGTTTTAAATTATTACAAAACAAAAAGCAAGCAGCCAGTTACCCGCAAATGCACATACACTTTGACATAAACAGCAAGCAACATCTCTAACATCTTCCTTATTTTGTTGCTCCCACAGGTGTGTCCACAGAATCACAGGCTACTCTTTGAGGTGTTCGATGAAAACAGATTGGTAAGATTCCCACTTTTGTAGATTTATTTAGTTCTCTCGTGTCGTTTAATCTGCTTCGTGCAATCTGTTCTCCTTGGAAATATTTGCACAATATATTGTCTTTCATTTAATGTCCTATGGTGATAATTTGCTTTCCAGTAGCACTTTATTTTGTTCTCTAGTCTCAGTTACGCCAATAAAACATAATGACTGTAAAACTGATATTGCTAAATTTGTCTCAACCAGTTCTGCTTTCATTATACCGCAGAGATTTTCAATAACTTAGAAGACGTTTTATTGACTTTGTCTGCCCTCCCTCGTGTGTTAAGTTTTCGAGATGTGAACCATTTTCCCAGTTTAACATGACATGATTTCAGCTTTAGGCTTTGTAGATTATAAACAGCGTACAGTTTGTTTGACTGCTAGTTTCGGTACTCTGCTTTCAGACTGTAATCCACTAACAGCTCCTACATTTCTCTTATGTCAAATTTCTCAGATTTCCCCCACAGACGAGAACACTGGTTTCCTTGACTTGTGAAATTAAAACCCCTTTTAGGCCCTCAGTTGCCTTGACAACTAAATTAAATGTCTGCACATTGTCAAGTCTTGCAGTGAGTAAAACCATCACAAATAGGTCTTATAATCAATTTACTAATTCACTCTTGGCTCTAAACGTCACCTTGGTTGGAGTATCTTCAGAGAAGGCGTGCATAAGAGAAGTGGTTGCTGACACTGTGGAGTCATTGTTCTGTAGAATAAGCAAAAGGCTCTGCTAGCAGTGTTATTTGTTTCCTATGTCTTCTCAGTAACTCTGGGTCCTGGGTTTGATGTTGTATAAAACAAACAGCGGATGCAGCCCAACATAGTTTTGGTGATCTTGGCTGGATAAGGCACATTCTGTCGGGGCCTCTCAGATTCAGGGCTGTTGCTGAGGACCATCGTGGGAGGTTAAAACATTTGGGATTTGTTTGGGGAGTGTCTTTTTGTAACAACACGATCCCTAGTTTTATTTCTAGGTGAACCATATAAAGACATGACTATTTCATTGATCTAAGCATGTAACACATGTCTAACTTGCTCATTTGCACTCCGTCCCTTCTAAAAAGTGCAGCTCTAATTTTCCTTCAGTACAGTGAACACTTTCTGTATAAGAGGATGAGACGAGAGCACAGCACACGCAGCCTCAAGCACGGTCCTCTCCTTATATGTCCGAAGAGGTGCTTTTTGTCTTTCTCTTGGTGCGTGCCAAGGCAGCTCCCCCACCACTGGTCAGCATTTCGTTTTGTACTGGAGCATAGTACAAATATAAGAGAACTATGTATGACACTGATGGTTGAATTTGAAGAAGCGGCTGAATAGACCTACAGCACAGTGCAGTTTGAAGCAGGCATGTTATGTCATTTGGCAAGCTGGGCTCGCTGCCATTGGACCACACATTGGCATTTTGTTTCTTTTATACAGAACATTCCCCATAACATTTCTCACACAGACACACATTTATTGACTGTGCCTAACACTGCAGGCAGTGTGTCATCACTAAGTGTAACTGGCTGCCAAGCCGTGAGTCTTCCTGTATTACAGTGTCTTTCTTTTGGCTTCTTTGTCCAGTCAGTATTGTTTCTTGATGCCCTCTTGTCCACAATGCAGACCTTTGATATTTATTTCTTTTTTTCATTCGTTTGAAATACTACAGGCTGCTGGTTGCAACTTGTTTTTTGAAAAAGATAAGGTGACGCACTGTGGTCTAAGCCATAGGTTGAACCAGTCCAAGCGGTTAAAACAAGGCAGTTACTTTTCAAGCGTGTAGCTCTGAAATGGCAAGTTGTGATAGGGGCTTTGTCAGTTCTGTGCACGGAGGCGGATGACTCCCCCACTAACTCTGGCTTCAGGGCAAAGTAGTCCAACTCCTACTTTTTCACATGATGATGCTGTGGTGAATCAAATTGTAGGAGCTTTTTTACATTAATGTACAGTATGTTGCATACAAAGCGTCTTTTTCTATGTTGTTACTTGGAGTTAGGCATTAGAATTTGTGCATGATTTCATTCAGCATTGCAGGCTAGGATCACAGCCAAGTTGTGTCTCGGACTGCTTTTGGATGCAAAAGGAATGACCTATAAAAGCAGCGTCAAATGTTTGGCTGTGTATGGCAGACATTGCATGTTTATTCTGTTTCAAGTAGACATGCCTTTTCCGAGTGATCTGTCAGATACTCTGCTCTTTACTCTCAATCTCACTTTTTTTTTTCTTGATCCATTTTTAGCACCAACTTCCTTATGCTTCTTTTTTTTTCTGTTTCCAAGCTGCAAGACATTACAGGATAAATTATATTCTCCAGACTTGGTGTTGAATTTTTGACATGATTGGCACCAAATGGCAATTGGTGATCAATTAACAAGTAACCTTGCTGTGAATCTAGAATCTAGAAGTTATTGATGCTTTCCTTTTCCCTTCCATTTCTTTCTGCTCCTTCAGTTCACAGCATGTCTTTTCCAGAACAGGCTGATTGCAGGCAGCACTGAATGATTGGAACCGTTCAATGCCGAAGGAGTTGAGTGGGAGCAAATAAACAGCTGACTGGCATTGCCAACATTGCTGCACTCTTTTTCGTAATAATGCTCTAATTTTATCCAGCTTTCCCATTTTGATCACATTGCTGAACTTTCACCCCTCCCTAAAAATCCAAAGCTGCTCGCCATTTAGTTCAGTTTGATCCAGAAAGAGTGTTTAGTCAACGATAGACGAACGTTTCTGTAGGTGAGCATGCAGTAGTTCAGCCATTTGTCACTCTAGTTAAGTTTCTATTAACTTATTTTTACATTCAAAGAAATCCACAGTCAAAAGACGAAATGACTTGTATTTAAGATGAATACGTTGGGAACTTCTTTTGTTAAATAATATAAGCCACAATATTGAAGACGGAATGAGTTACGATTTAATTTAATAGGTGTACTCTTGGTGAGTGGTGTTTTGATATTGAGTGCTACTCTGGGGAAATGAGCTACTCTTACTGAGATATCAAATTTAGCAAATTAAATCAAATTCCAGATGATGTTTAAATTATGAAGAAAATAGTTTAAAAACTCATGAAGCCAGATGAAAGGACATTAATGAGATGTGGAGGCAGGGGAATTGGCGGGGTTAGAAAAAGTTCATGTTAATAGAGGGGAGGATGGATAGGAGTAAGCAAGCAGGATGTAGGTGGGGTCGTGGGGGGGGTTCATTTGCTACGTGAGGGCAGTATGGGGTCGTAACAGGAGATGGCAGGGCCATTTGTAGTCACGTGACTGCCAGGCAATCCACTGTCACCTCGGAAACCAGGAGTGCCGGCCACTCATATCCAATCATGTCGGGAATGCTGGCTGTCACTTGGCTAAGGCTATTTCTGCCGTCTGTCGCTAGTGCTTGATGGTGCTAAGAGACTGGTATACAGGGATCCTCCTCCTTTTTTCTTTTTTTTCCTCCTTTTTTTTTTTTTCTTTTAAAACACCCCCCACCCCCGCACCCTCCTCCTCGTAGCCATCAGCCCTCACTCTCCCTCTCCTTTGAGTGCGTTGTGTAAAGTTGTCAGCTGTTTTGCAGTGGCTGTTTTGCTTTTGTGGTGTGAGTACTTCTTTTCTCAGTTCAGCTTGGTGTGGGAAGGAAAGTTGCGGAAGAGGCTGGGAGAGGGGAGTGGGGAGGGGGGAATGGAAGAAAAGAGGATCAGTTGTCTAGCCAAAGGAGAAGTGGGCAACAGTTAGGATACTGAGGCAAGAGCCAGAGGAGAGAACCAGCAGCCACTCAGTAAGAAAGTGAAAGGCAACGGGAGATTTGGACGTGTGGTGAAAATGGCACAGCGTCTGCGTTTGTACTTTGGCTCAGGACACAGTAACACAGCCCCGGACATACTGGAAGGAGACTTTGAGGTGCAGCAGCGAGACGACGATGGGGTCACGGCACACCTTGTGCAGCCACGTCCAGCATCGAGGCCTTCCCAGGACTCTGCTACGGAGCACGTCCCGTCGGCGGCTTTTGGTTTCCACTCTGAGCCTTCGCTTAAACGCAGCTCCTCCATGTTCATACCCCAGCTTGCCGCCTACACTGAGCCACGTCCTACTAGGAGCTCATCCATGCACATCTCCCTTCAGCGCTCCAATGGATCCAGTAATGGAGATTCCAGTGGTCATGCTGATGATGTCCCACCACCCTGTTATACTCCTCCAGGACCTGCGCCTGCCTATACCGAACCACAGAGTCAAGCTAACTTTCCGCGGCAGTCCCCTCCTCCATACTACAGCCCTGATTCTTTAAGTGTGCAATCTTCTCTGGCGGAGCCAAACCTTCCCAAGCGCAGGGTCTTTAGTATTGGTTCCAGCAGTCATTGTACGTATAACAGACGCCAGCCTGGCATCAGTGTTGGTGCCATCTACATCCAGAGGAATTCTCCTGACGGCTCTGATGTCCAGCATTTCAGAATCCTTCCCTATGGCGGTACCGGCTGGTCTGTCCAGCAGCAAAGCCTGGACCAGTCCTCTGGTGTTAATGGCACAAAGCAGAGGCTAGTGTTTCAGCTCCAGCAAAATCAGAGCCAGGATCAGAAGCAGGGCAGACAACCGGATGATCCATCACAAGAACAATGCACAGATGCTGGACCCAACAGCTTAAGAGGTTGCCATAGGGTGCGCTACCCTAGAATTCGATTACATAGAAGCTCGTCTCATCAGAGGCTGCTGGTGGAAAATAATAATCAGAAAAGTGGTGCAGACAGTCAGACTATAGACGAGAATGAAACAGATGTGGAGACAGAAGCAAGAAACAGACCTGATGGTTGTACTTTAAACTTTAGTGGGGAAAATCCCAGAAGGCAGCCACATTTGAAGATATATTTTACCCCGGGTGGAGGTGGAAATCAGGATGTGAGCTTTGGCAATGAAGCAACGACAAGTAATTCCAAGGTAAAGAGTGTGGAAAAGTTTAGTAGAAGCATACTCTGCCTCTGAAATGTTTGGTGAAAAATTGTTGAATTACAAAAGCGTTATGTAACATTTATAGACTTGTTCTAATGTTCCTAGAGAAACTGATATTAGAATGAATAGTAAACAAATCCAAAAATAGTGGGTGGCATGTGACATTTAGTTTAATATGACTTGGCTTGTTCCTCTTGTTGCCAAAAGGGTGAGGTCCAGCACTGTCATGGACATAACAAATGAAAAAGCCAGTCTAACACATCTAATTTGCAGTGGTTGCTTAAGTACTATTTAACACTAAGAATATAGGCTAGACAGGGAGAGATCTGTGTGGTGCTGATACAGGGTGGTGACTTTCCTGGACCTAAAAATCCCAGACAACCTTGCTGATCTAAATCACACATGCTGCTTTTCTTTCACTTCATAACCAGAACGACTTAAAATCTCACACACGTCAGCCAGTTCAGTTGTGCAAGAAATGGATGAATGGATAATTTGTTCCCATGCACTTGTTGCCTTCCGTTTCACAGAAATGCGACACTGGGGTTTTTGATAATACCCTTAAGTGCAGTCAGCACTCTTTAAGAGCTGGCTGTGTCTATTTTTAGTTTACCTCGAGCGTGTTTGTTGGTTTTGAAAGCAGGCAAACGGCATGTCTTCTCCAGTTCTTGGCTGGTATGGATGTGAATCGTTGCAGCTGCTCAGCAGGCGATTAAGAACTAACATGTCAGTGCAGCCCAAACAATGATCAAAAAGTTTCACAAGCAGCGTCGGTTTCCTCAAAGCCTGAAATCTTTTGGTGTTGCTCTCCAGTCTTATGCATATGTCCAACTCTGGTGCTAGAATGCTATAATCAGTGTATCGAGTTACCCAAATTGCTGTTTATTTATTAAACTTTTAAATACTTTCGATGTAGAACGTTTTAGATGTTTCTTTTAAGCTATTTTTTAAATGGCACTTTGGAGTTGTAAACTCAATTTTTAGCCTAAAATTAAATATAGTAGATTTTGAAATTAAATGATAGGGCCGTCATTGACTGTTTGAGGTTTACACCAGCAGGATGCAGGTTTATCATGAGATGTTTAGCTCCAGGAAGGACCGCCTAAACAGGAAGCTATTTGCTCATATCATGTTTTAGTTCATCTGACCAAACCACTGATTTCATTCATCTGAGTCAACCCCCCCCAAAACCCAAAAGATTCCCCCGCCACAAACCAGATTGGTTATTTGTAAAAGTAGAAACATGCTTTTTTTTCCTTTTGGAGCTAGCCTCAAGTGGCCACTCCAGGAACTGCAGTTTTTTGCATTTAATCATCAGCTTGAGTTTATTGCACCTCATCGGTTTCTGCTTGCTTGTGTGTGTGTGTAGAAGTTGTGACCAGTCGGCTAAAGAATATCTCTTCCCACTCAGTTTGACTGAGCTTAGTCTGCATCCAGGCAGATACTGTGATGCACAGTCCTGCCAGTGATTTCGCATTATTCAGGTGATGAAAAAGGAGATGCCAAGATGCAGTAGCAAAGGTGATGATGAAAAGGGCAAGGGTGGTGTTGATATAGACAACCTAGGTTTGGATAAAAAAAAAAGAAAGAAAACGTTTTCAGATCTAGTGGGAAAAATTAACCTCTTCCTTCGCCCCTCATGGTAGTGATGTGAGACTCCATGGCATCCTGTTTCTCAAGCAACGAGGAAGTCCCCAATTAGACCATAATGACAGGTCTTCCCCAACTGATTGCCTGGAGTTGGATTGCCCCTTTTTAAAACTGTGTGTGTGTTGTTTGTTTGTGTGTGTGTGTGTGTGTGTGTGTGTGTGTGTTGTGTGTGTGATGTGTGTTTGTGTGTGTGTATGTGTGTGTGTGTGTGTGTGTGTGTGTGTGTGTTGTGTGTGTGTGTGTGTGTGTGTGTGTGTGTGTGTGTGTGTGTGTGTGTGTGTGTGCGCACACCAGATGGACTAGCTGCAAATGGCTATGCCTCCGTGCCATGCCCTCGTTACAGCCCTGCCTTAGTACCCCTCGGTTTCCATTCATTGAGAGCTCCTGGAGGCCAGTAGGCTGGCTATATTTACCTGAGGCAAGATTGTGGATGAGTGCGGTGAGGGCACACTTTTTATTTTGGTCCGATAGCATGTAAGAGGCATTCAAATCACTTGTGTTGCGAAGGGCTTTTCTCTGACAGCGTGGACTTCTCTGAATTGCATGGTATTGTAATACAGTTGTGTCAGCAGGGAGACTGTTGAGAAGGTGAGACAGCCTTTTTACACCTCAGTGCCAGCCTGGACTTGCTCCAGATTGCCCTTTGTCGTAAACACCCTGTCACCACATCTTCCTGTAGCTTCATAGCATTTCCAGTTCTTAGCACTTTAGCTGCTTTCCTATAGTCTTGAAAGATTGGAGTGTGTTTAGGAATGACAATAGATTAGGTTTTTACTCGTTCATTACATGTGAATTGAAGTGAAGAGCAAAATATCCTATAAACATTGGCCATGAAAGCTGCTGTCTGGGTGCTTTTGCTTGTTGGATTTAATTGCAGGGTCAGAGAGAGATGTTGCTGCAGGCGACATTTAGGGTTTTATTTATTTATTTTTTTTATTTCATTTTATCATTTTTTTGGTGCTGTGAGAACCACAAAATCATTTGTAATCCACAGATGTTGCAGTGGTATTTCAGCACAAATCTCTGAAATGGTTATATTCTCATCCAAACTTGCCAGAGTAAAATTAGAAGCGTGTGAAAAGCAATTGTTTCGGTGACTTACTCGTGTTCAGTTTTCAAACTTTTTTGGGCTACCTTCCTCTTTTTCTTTTCTTTTTTTTTTTCTCATACCTCAAGCCACCCCTCTTTGTCCACCCGTACTTCCTTCTGTTGGTCTTTGGTCGCACTCTCAGAGTGTAACCTGGTCCTGGGAGGCAGTTGCAGACTCAAATCTGACCTCTTAATGACTTTGTAATTAAATCCAACTCCGTATATAAGGTCAGAGCTGAAATGCTTGTTATGGTTAGTGACATTTAAAAAAACAACAACAAAACAGGTTTGCCTGCAGAAGGTGTTGTTTTCCATGTGATAATATCATTGCAATTGCTTATATCATACACTGGAAGTGACAGTGCTACTGCTGTTTATGTGATCATGTGGTAAAAGAGTTGTGGTTATGCTGTGGTCAAGTTTGCTTTTGATGCTCTCTCAAACTTGGAGGAATCTTATGTCGGACTGCTTTAAATGAGTTATGTTAACAGTAAGTGAATCGTTTAGTTTGGTTGGTTTAGAAATTGAAAGCATGCATTGCGGTAATTTGCACAGTAGTGACTCCTGTTTTCCAAGAAGGGCTCATTTACAGTGTGTTATTCAGTGGAGGTGGGTGGACGTGCGAGGATGAGTGACTTCACATACGTTCGTGTGTGTGTGTGTGCTTACATGCCTGTGCGTTAATCAGTCATCATTTTTATGTGACTCATTTGTAACCTTTTCACTACTGAATTCCAGCTCGGTTAACTGTGGTGGGAGCCCAGTGCAGTCACTCCACAGCTCTTTTTTCTTTTGTTTATCAGAATAAGCTGGTGTTTTGGTTTGTTTTTTGTTTTAAATCTTTAAACACCTTAACCTCAAATCAGTGTTAAAAAAATCCTTTCCAGGCCATGCAGTCTATTCTGTAGAGGCTTAAATTCTGCTTGTTCTTATTCTTCATCCAGAGGTATAATACTGTTTTCAGAACTAAGTCAGTTTTTGATTTTTATTCCTTCTGAAAACTTTTTTTTTTGCTAATTTCAAGTTAAGTAGCCATAAATATCACATTTTACTGTCAGAATAAGCATATACACAGTGTTCCCCACACTTAATTTACCTGGAAATTGTGGCACGTGTGAAAGTTGTGGAAACAATGTTGAAAATGTCCTCTGTTGTACATTAACAATAATCAGTCTTTAAAGTAGAAAACAGACTGAAGGTTTTTTTAATTTAATTTAATTTTTTGTAATTGTGGTGAGTGGGAGAGCGTATAATTGACAGCCAGTAGGTTTTTTTTGTTGCACTACTGTAGTTGTCTTTGCGTAAATCTGTCACTGCATCATTCAACCCAACTTGTGTGTCAATCAGTTAGTTTATGCCTGTTGTCTAAATCAGTTGTGTCCTACACACAGGCTACTTCCAAGAATGGGCTTTTCCATCTCGGACAGGTAATCCATACTCTGTAACGGACAAATCTATGGGCCTCTTAAATTTCAGACACAAACCTTCCCTGTTTTAAATTTTTCCTTGTGGTCACATCTGCCCTTCTCTCCCTCTGTCCAGCTGATTTGGCTTTTATCTGGTGGCTGTAGATGTTTTTTTCCTTGCTGGGATCGCAGGTTTTTCTCCCATAAAGTGTTGCAAAAGGCCTGTCCATAAATAAATCTCGCTCTGAACCTTCTGTCTGGACACATGTGGAAATCTGTCCTGATTGATAGAGAAGCTGATCTTAAATCATAACTAATCAAGTGCAATTGTTTTCAGTAAGACCGCGTGGAAATACTTGAACAGTTTTTCTTTACTGCCTTTAAACTTTAGATTCTCAGGTTTCCACATGTGTTCACAAATTAGGCTGGAGGTCACTGTATTTCTGGATGGGGCTGTCCATGAAATGAACTTCTTTTTGCCTTTCTTTCCACCTGTCTTTAATACATACAAAATGCTGCTGGATAATCTGGTGATTTTTACCTCAACATTGTGGTTTTCCCTTCATTATCCCTACTGATACTTTGGGCTTTTCACAGACACTCAAACAAAAACAAAAAGTCATTCTTTTTGAATTTCAGCTTCTAAATGTGACCTTTTTCTTTCCCTCTAGACTAGAGATGATTTCCTGGGGCAAGTTGATGTTCCTCTCAGTCATCTGCCAGTAAGTTATTTACATCTCTGCTGTCATTTATTTACGTCTGTATGTGTGTAAAGCTTGAGTGCGTGTGGACACACTGGCTGGTTTAGCACTGTTTTGAATGCTCAGCTGTTTCTTATCTACAATTTTGCTGTTCCTGATTAACCTCTGTGAAGGTCAGGGAGGGAGTTTGTTTGTGTTTTCCCATCTTGAGTGTGAGAAAGTGCTAGTCACAGGTAATGCTTCTGTTGTGATTAAACAGCGCTCTCTGTATTAGAAAGGGAAAGCGGGCTGTCTAGCATGTAAACACACAACATCGACCTGCAGAATCAGGGTGCTTGGGAATTTTTACAGTTGAGGTCTGATGCAAGCACAAGCCAATTCTCACACCTGCAACTGTTCAGCTGGACTGGACACGAAATGGTTTTTTGTGGTTGTTGTTGTTTTTAAAACCTTCTTAGTAGTAAGTCGGTGTGATGCAAGAGTAAACCAGGTAGTTGTCTCGCGTCTGATGTCCTTCTGCCCTCTGCATACTCTGCCCAGAGAACACGTTTGAAGTTGCTTCTTGTGAAAATGGCAAAACTGAGTAGAGCTCTTATGTGCAAAAGGCTTAAGAGACCTACAAATCATCCTGAAGCAGCAGCACCTCTGCACATTTGGGAGCTTTGCTGCCAGCTTGGTTGTGGCTCCCTAAAGTTCTGTCTTAGTTGTCGACCTTAAAAGCCTATCAGTAAAAGTTTTTGAGGTTAATTATTAATGCCCTATTTGGGTCCCACAGGCCCAGGAAATTATTAGCAGATAAAAGCTTACAGCTGAGTCACGTTGAGAGTTGAAGCCTTGGGACAACATGGATAATATTTAGTCCTGATGTGACTTATGCTAAAAAACAAAAACAAACCAAGGCTTGTTTTTAATTAATTAATGAATTTGATTAAACATGGAGGCTTGGCATGAATAACCTGCTGTAATGCTTATACAAATACGCGATGTATAAAAAAGTATGCGTCTGTTTTTATTTGGTTTATTTTTTCATGCATTACAGAATTTCTCGTCTTATTCATAGTTACTGGGCATAACTTAGTCATGTCTCCTTTCTCCGTAATAGCTTCTTGTAAATGTCCTTTTACTTTTCATGAAACAGGACATGAATACTGACTCATCAGAGTCCATCTGGTAGCTACATTTTCCTTATGGAACCGTGACCTCCTCTTAGCAAATAACAGGACAACGCCATTCCTCTTTTTCTTGGTCGTCTGTATTTAAGCAGGCTCCACACTCAACTACCTCTTTTTACCGGGCTCTGTGTTGTATGTGGTGAGACCAGATAAATAAAAGCACGTGAGGTCTGAAAGTTTAGCAAATCAAAAACCATGTATGATTGGAATTTCCCCTTTAAAGTCATCTGCTTTTGCACCTCTGGACTTCTTGCAGTGCTGCTGCTAATTTTAGATGGGACCGTGAAACTGCCAGGACATCCATACTGTGCATTTCTGTCTCAAACTGAGCTGACGTTTGTAGTAAGGATTATCATCAGGCTGATGAGAACTAATCTCCAGGGATTCTCAACTTGGAGACCGAACAGTGTTTTCATTGAAAGGATGTTAATGTTCAAGGTTAGGACAGGAGCTTAGGTAGTGAGCTCGTTGGTCGTTTTTGCCACATTCACAGTTTGCTCCACTGAGGCCAGATTTAGGTCTATGAGTCCATAATGACCTCAAACTATGGGTGACCAGTCATTATAAACAACTTGAACTGTGCACCATTTTATTCGCTACTCACCTGACTCATCAGAGTTGCCTCCCTGTGACTTTAACCTCTTCAGATTGGAGGAGGACAGAGTGGAGCTCCATGGACTGAAATGTGTCTGCAGAACTTGCTTTAGTCCACAAGGAAACCATCCTAAATGGGAGCTTGATTGATAAAATTAATATTAGATATTATTTCATGTTAATACTGCCCCTAATATTTTGACTTGGAATTTTGTTCCAATCTATTTCATATTCCTGCTTTGAGGAGCCCCACCTAATATTTTGAGAGCAGTGTTTTGACTGTAATTGAGGTCCATTATTTGGAAACTTGACACTGGTACTTTTCACACATGTTCTTTTTCCTTTTACAAAACTTTCCAGCATTTTCTTTTAAATATGAAAACTGACTTTTGGCCTCAGCGGTATCTCACAGGGCATTATGCGGTGAGCAGCCAGCATAGACTGGTTTGGCCCTGTCAGAGAGCGGTGTGAGATTGCTGTGAATTACAAAAGGCTGCTCAATATGTAACAGGAGAAGCTCAGGATTGCATAATGATCCTGGGATGTCTGTGCAGAGGGTTGTACCCTCTGTTGAAAGCTGGCGACTGTGATATTCTGATATCGCAACATGTGTATTTGCTTGTGTTCACTTAAATGCCGTCAGCAAAAACCTCCTCTATTTGCAGACAGAGGATCCTGCCATGGAGCGGCCCTACACGTTTAAAGACTTCCTGTTGCGGCCAAGAAGGTCAGTTTTGGCTGTGTTTGATATAAAATGAGAAAACGTAGATGGCAAATAGTAGCTGCTTTTTTGTGTCTGTCTAGTTTGGCCCCTGTTAGCAAGTGGAGTAGACAATGACACATTATTAAAGTTAGATCTTGGTTCACAACACTGTCTAGACTCTGGCCATATTGGAGTCTAGACAACGATAACTTCATGCGGCTGTCAGCTAAATACTGAACTTGGAATTCCAACTAGGACTAATGAGCAGGAAGTATTTAAAGCAGATGTTTTCCTTTCAGTCACAAGTCCAGGGTGAAGGGTTACCTGCGTCTGAAGATGGCCTATCTGCCCAAACAAGGAGGGCATGAGGAGGAGGGGGGAGACATGAGGGAGGAGGCTGAGGTAAGGTCTAATCCTCTGTTGTTAGTATAAACTGCTGACTTTGCATTACCTAAGACATTCTTGGGACTGTTTTTTCCACAATAAAAGCAAACCAGATTCTACTGTTATTCCTTTCTGCCACATGAAGGCAACATAGTTCTAAGCTTGAAAGTGAATGTCCCACTGTGAACCAAAAGTAATGTGAGAGCATCTTTCTTTTTTTCTTTTATTATTTCTCTGAGAATTTGGGAAGCCGCTCACTGCCAGCATCTGGTAAAAGTCTTTTCCAGGTCAGGGTCTGGAAAAAACATTTACAATGTGGCCTGTTATTTGGAGAAAATTGAGCTTTTCCTACTTTAATATGTGTTCTTGGATGTGTGGAAGAGAGCTAGAGAGCGAAAGGCTTCACAGATAAGGTGACATTTAGCAGCCAAAGCGTGAAAGCTTAAATGGCACCCCTCATGTTCATACTGCAAAAAATTTTCTTTCCCCCCCCGACTGTCTGTATTTCTTTTTTCTTTTTCATTGTATTAAAACCTCATTACTAATGCTTTTTTTCCCTTTGTAGTAGCTCTTTTTTTCTGCCTACGTATTAAATTAAGCGTAAAATTGCCAACACTACGAGTGAGATTGTTGCTTAAACATCAGCTCCGTCTTGGATTGTAGGCATAGATACGCCTGCCTGCTGGCAGCTATGAAACACAGGCATTAAGTAAAACATGAAAACAAAAAAAAAAACCAGCAGAAAAATATAACCAGCTACATCTTTAATGTACTTCTTTCTGATCTTTGGCTTAAACCTACCATACTACCCTTCAACCATACTGTCTTTCAGGGTTGGGATGAGTCTGCTGACTCAGGCTCCCAGCGACCCCAGCAGCTGCTGCCTCCTTTGCCTCAAGGCTGGGAGGAAAAAGTGGACAACCTGGGACGCACCTACTACGTAAACCACAACAACCGCACTACACAGTGGAAACGGCCTTCCAACGTGTACGCCTGATCTCGCACTAATACAGCCTCGAACCTTTCACATGTCACTGTTGGTTTTTATACATAAAAAACCCCCACAATGTTAAAGTCTGTTGAGGATTTTTGCCCATGTACTGCAAGCTTAGTGAGGAAATACTCTTCAAAAATATTATTTAAGATGTTTTTTTTTTGTTTTTTTTAACATCAAAACAACTGGCGTCAGCCACAGTTATTCCTATTTGTAGACGCTACACTCCTTTAAAAATTGATAATTGGACATTTTAAAATATACACAAATTCCCTCTCTATACACACAATAATGCCATATTCCATGTCTCCACTTAATTGGGAAATTATTATTATTAATTATATAGATATATTAAAAAGAAAAAATGAATTACAATATTTTTAAAAAGTTCAATTTTTGAGCTTTATCACTTTTTCTGCTAAAAACTAAATAAGTGCACACAGGGTAAAAACAAAATCCTGCATATAAGGGCCCATTAGCTTAGCTTAGCTTAGCTTAGCTTTGCACAAAACTGAAGACAGAAGAATGGACTGAATGTCAGTAATCTAATGTGTTTGTCCTAGGCTAGCCTTCTGACTTAGCTTTATATTTAGGAGACAGATAGAAGAAAGGCTTTTAACCTTCTGAGGTAGCTCTTAGCAGTAAAATGAAAAAGCATATCACTCGTCAAAGTAATCCTTCAACAAAGTATACGCGGTTGACAAAACATGATGGACATATTTTATATCATCATTATTCTGAGCACACCTGATAGACTGTAAATTGTTGTTGAAATAACTAAATATAACAGTGTTTGGCTCTTGTTACTAAATAATCCTGCACAGGAGAATTAATTCATGATTATTAACTTTTGGTTTCCATTCACATTTTCTCACCAAATCTCTCTCAGAGACGTGATTTCAGAGATTGAGAGTGACAATCAACAGCGGCAAATCCATCAGGAAGCCCACCGCGTTTTCCGATCAAGGCGCCACATCAGTGAAGACCTGGAGAACGAACACCTGGAGCCCAGGGACTTGGATAATGTGAGGGGGGGGAAAAAAGAGCAGTCCACTCACGCACACTTAAACTCATCTACAGTGGTAAAATTTCCAAAAGATCTGTGTTACATCAAGATTTTGTCTCTTTGTTGTGCCGGTAGTCTTGGGAACTCATCACAGAAGAGGATAACGACAGCTTGGCTCAATCTCTGCCCGGTCCCTCCTCCGTTTTGACACCACAGCACACACCAACACCCATCACCCAGGAGTTCTCAGAAGACTTAAATCTGAGGCTGTCGCTGACTCCCGATACAAACGGCGAAGTGCCAGGGCCCAGCTCTGCTTTGGTGAGACTGGAGAACCGTTAATTTTCCATTGTCAAAAACCTGGACCTGGTGTAAATGTAGGCAGCCAAACAAGAGGCAGCGCTGGCAGCGGCGTTTATTCTCTCTTTGCTTCCTTTGAACAGAGCCAGCTGTCAAACAGACTCCGTTCCTCAAGTATGACGGATGGCGTCAGTGATCAGGCCCAGGCTCCTCCTCTTACGGTACATATTTCTAAAGCCACAAACCCTTCCTCCAGCTTTTTCTACTTTCCTTCTCTTTCTGTGTTGTCTAAGCAGGTTGCTAATGTCTCATTTACCTCCTCCTCGTGGATGTGTCTGTCCTGTTAGTTTACCACATGCTAAATCACCTTTCTTGCTCCTCTTGCATTTCAACCTCCAGCAGATGCTACTACCCACCTCACCCTTTGTTTCTTCCCTGCTTCAACTGTACCACTTATTCTACTTACTTTACTTTTTGTCTCTCTAGGGTTACCACACCTCTTCGTCTCTCATCACTGCTCTTTGTGATTCACATTCCACTGTGTTTGATTTGTTACGTCTCACCAGAATCATGATTCCACTTAAAAACTCTGAGACAAAAAAGTAAGATTAAGAAGTGCACCAAGGTTCCCCTGGAGTCCTGAGTCATGGCGTCAGCTGGGATTCAGCTTAACAAACTGTCACAAGATCTGAGTCAGATGTTTGTCAGTCACACAGCTGAGACACAGCAGTGAGCTTTAGCATTGTTAAGAAGAAGTGACAGTACAGGTGCTCGTGTCTTTCTTTCCCTTCCATGATACGTTTCTCAGAACTGGACGACTGTTTAGAAACCATTGGGGGGGGGAGCATTTGTTTGAGGTCTATACAAGGTTTAATGTTTTCCTGTGGGCGTAGTGAGCAACCACAGGAAATCCCCCCCCCCCTTCTATTTCATTATTTTTTTCTTTTGTCAATTTGACTGTAATATACTTTAAAATACGTCATTAACTTAATAGGAGGATATGAGGTAGCTTTAATTTGACGGTACAGATTTAAAATTGTTCCCATATTTTAGTTTTCTATTTGTTTTGGCAGTAGTAGCTATTAAATTGCTTTATAAAAGGCTGCTGTTGGAGGACTGATATTGTTCATGTACTTCTGTGTAAGCAGAACAACACCTAGTTGCATATCTGCGTTTAAAACGGAGAAACAAAACATGTACATGAAAGAAAATACATTTTCTTTCATTTTTTTCCTTCAAAATTTGATTGTTTTGTTAAGGCTGGTTCCTTTTTCCACCTTCAGCACTGTAAATCACTTACCTGCTTGCACATTTTCAGGACGCACCTGTTTCTGGTTGAAATTAAAGATGCTGCACATTGAATGGAGGGGGAAAATCTGTTTTCCAAAGGTTATTGATTGCACAGGGATGATACTTCTTTTTGTCCCCCTCTTGCCAATCACAGCAGCCGTGTGCTTCACTCTGTGTCCTGTGTCCTTGCTGTTCACAGTCACTGCGCTCTTAGGCCCATAACCAAAAGATTCTCTCGTCTTTCTGCCACTCCTCACCTCCTCTGAGAATGAATTTTCCCCCCTTTTGTCCACTCAGTTTTCCTCTTTCAGCCTTCGCTTGTGCCCACACTTGGCTTACACTTACACCCTTAAAACATAACCTATTGTGAACTAAAGACCCTCTTCCATGTTGTCTACCACCAGCAGAGTTCCCAGTCCAGAAGAACGAGAGCTCAAACAGTCTCAGGTGGTGAGGAGCCTATGGTAATATCTCAGTTTATGCACAGCACTATGTAGGATGGGACTGTCACCCGACTAGTTTTGTGAATGACTTCTAATAAATCCTGCACTCAGTTAGAGCTTACTCATTAGGAAGATTTCCTCATTGTTACACCAGTGTTGCTTTCCAGTAAAGTCCTGTACGAGCATATGCTGAGCAGGGCAGTGTGATCAAGAAAATGATATCACAATAGAGTCACATTTTAGGTCAAGACTAAAGCCATGTAGCTGTTTCTTGGCAGCTATGCAAGGGAGTAATATTTATTTAAATCCCATTTTTCACAGCGTGAAATCACTTTGCAAATTCAGCGAAGTACAAACTTACAAGAAATGCTTGCGTGCATTTTAAATTATTTTTGCAGTGTAGAAAATAATACAGCTTTTTTTCAGTTCCTGTGGACCAGGAAAGCCTAAACAGCACTGTTACTTATTCATTTATTGACAGGAACATTATTTCTGATTCCCCTAAAAATCAGATCATATGCCAAATGATGATCTGTACTTTATAAAATCATCAAAAAACAGATTGCCCCTTTCACACTACACATACTTCATAATGGACGCAAACAGCTTAATAAAGCAATTACTTTTGAACACATTAGAAACATAAATCATCATGATTAGCACATAGCTTAAAAACCTGTCTTTTCTTTATTCTCTTATTGTGATCTGCAGCGTTAGATCAGAAGTTGTCTGTTATATGTGTGTGTTTCTGTGTTTGTTGTGTTTTGACCAAGAACTGACAGCCTAGCTGTAAATAACGAATGCCACTGATCAGTCATTGATAACGAGCCATGACGCTGCATCGTAAAATGTTGCCAGTGTTCAGCCATGCTGTCTGTGTAATACATCACCAGATTATGCTGTGATTATTTGGTTGACACTCTGTAATGTTTATGCTGGAAATGGTTAATAGTTCACTTAGTTGGATTGTAATAATCTATTCCCTGCAACCTCAATATAAAATATTAGAGCCCCTCCACTTGTCTAAATGTACTAGTCTGTACTGATTAGCCATATTTGCTTTGCTCTCTCTCTGCACTTGGCCAGTCTCCCTCGTCGACTGCTTACACCTTGACCACCCCTGGCCTGCCCCCTGGATGGGAGGAGAGGAAGGATGCCAAGGGAAGAACTTATTACGTCAACCATAACAACCGCACCACTACATGGACTAGGCCAGTTGTGCAGGTACAGCAGGTCTGAAGTGTAGCTGTCGGGCTGGCTGGACCGTAACCCGGCCCCATGATTCTTCACCTGTGTGTTGGATCTCTTCCCACTCTATTCCCCCTCCTGTGTTTCTCCTTTTCTCTGTGTACAAGAGTGAAAGAAAAAGAGAGAGAGCTTTTAAATGTCAAAGTTCTGCGTTGTTTTGTTTCCTACTTTGTCCAACTTTTACTGTGCGTCTTCCTTCTCTTGTCTAGCATTTTGTGTAACACAAGGATGAAGTTCAACTGTGTATTGGTCACGTGTTTCTAAACCCTGGCATGGGACCGCAACCACTACTCTTCCCTCCCTCCTCCCATTTCCACTCCATTTTTCCACCCTGCCTTTCTGTCTGCAAGCGAGGCAGCCCCACGTAAGCAGTGCTCACAGAGAGACAGAGGGGACTGGGTGTATGTTTAATGCTCTCCTTTGAAATCCACCCTTGCATTTGTGCCTTTTTATGGTCAACTCTGTAACTCTGTGACTGTATTATAAATGTCATAGTCTCCTCGTTCTCTGATCCTCATCTGTTTTCTTAAGTACTCGGAAGGAGAGGCAAATCTATCAAATAATTCCTCTGTGTTTGCTCTGAAGTTATACCCCGCTGTAAATGTGGGCTGTACCTCCCACCTCATCTAGGGGTGAAAGTTACGTGGTAATCTCACTATTTCAAACCTTTGTCATTGTTTTCTAGTTGGACATAAAATCCTATTGTTGTTTTGTTTGTGGCCCTGAAATGACCCCTGCCTTTGAGATTTTAGTGGCTTATTTCCCAAGGAAAACAAAGCCTGCATCCAGACCTTTCCAGTGCAGAAAAGCATGCTTCTCAAAGAGACTTTCTTTTTATTTTTGGCAAACGGCATGGCATGCTTGATTTCTTCCCAACCTAACCTCAAAAGTGCTGTTCTCACTGACAGCTGACTGAAGATGGCGCCAGCACCTCAGCAGCAGCAGCATCAGGAGGAGCCTCAGCCCTGGCACCTGCATCCACCCCTTCCTCCTCCTCCAATGCCTCCAACAACCACCTCCATGAGCCCCAAGTCCGACGACCTCGTAGCCTCAGCTCCCCTACTGTCACCCTTTCCACCCCCTTGGAGGTGAGAATTAGCCACCTGTACTGTCCCTCTCCACCATCATTCCCATCTCATTTTCCTCTACATACTTGAGGACCACCTATTTGTGTCCTACCTTCCTGAATCTTTACCCTCCTGTCCTTTCTTGCCATGTGCTCCAAATGACTAAATCGTGATCTTCACTTTCTCACACTTCTGCCTGTTCCTTCTGAAGATTAACATTTCCACCTGTTAGCTCTCCTCTTTTCAGGTTGCTGCTTTTGTCTTCTCCTCATTGCCAAACTTAATGAAATCTTCTCAAGTGTTGTTGGGATCTCTCCATTAATGACAGTTTTCTTTTTTCATATTGCTCTTACTTTCTCCTCATTAATGAAAGTTGAGCTCATGTGTGTACTAAAGGACCTTGCAGCTAAACGCTGATTAGATGAATAATATGATCCGAGCTTTCCTTAAGCACCTTGATTCACGCTATGGTTTAAAAGAATAATAGCATGAACCTGGTGTGGTAAATCTAAGATGGCTAAATTACTTAAATTGATAATGGGCCCCTAATGATGTCATTTGTTAAAATAAAACTAGGGACATAAGTGAAGGAGTGGAAAAACTATTAAATAAAGACTGTGTTGGTAACGCAATGGCCAATCGGTTTTATTTGGGAAGGCGTGACAAATTGTAAATAAGGAACTTAAGGAAGGCTGTGTCAATATTACTGTGTGTTTGCACTAGTTTTTATAATCAAATAAGACCGCATTCAAGGCTAATTCATTCTCCGATGCTACTCTATGCTAACAAAACATCAAAGGTCTAACTAAAGTAACAAAGCACACAGAAAGCTTAATAGACATCTGTCTTTCTGCCAAGGAGATTTTATGTAGCCAATCCGTGTACATTCCTGGTGTTTGACTCATCTAGTGGACAGATTAAATATTAGCTTTTTTCATTGCTGCTTTTTAATAACCTGAATGTTAACGACCAATAGCAATTCATAGAGTCATCTTGCCGCCTCCATGTTACGTTGTTCCCAACATTATGCTTTACATGACTTCTTTCTCTCACTCATTGGTCAGAGGGTGTTAATATTCACACAGCATAAGTGGTTAATGCGTTAGCCGTATAACACCTTGGTAAAATATTGAAATTTCTACTTCACATTTTAATGTGTTTTTTTTTTTTTTTTAAGCTGCAGGCTACATCATGCAGATAACCTTTGAGGTTGTCAATTTAATTGCATCGCATTAATTTGCACGTACATTTTCTCCTCAACCTAAATTATGCACTACGAATGCAAATGTAAGTCTGATCAACACGTTTGTAGAAATGCATGATCTCATCTAGTGCTTCTGCAGCCTTTTAATGGCTTCGTTCGGTGGCGAAGATGCTACCTAGGGAACAGACCTGAACAAGGTTTAATTAAAGTGTGTGCGAGTATTGTGGAAGTAAAAGAAAGCGAAATAGTCGCAGCAGATTGTTGTAATTACAACTTGCAGGGGATGTGGTTAATTAATGCACTCTTCTCTCTTGTTTGAAAGAAGAAAAAAAGAAGGTCAATCAGTGATGATTACTGCTATTAAAAAAATAATAATTATCTGATGCAGGGACACTTTTTAGTCTGGACGACATAAGGAGCTTTTACCAGGGATGTTCACTTTCCTGTATATAAATAGTTTCAGGTATTATGTTGTAATTAGGTTTCCTTTTAGCCTTGACAGAAAGCTCTGTTACCAGATTTAGATTAATGAGTTCTGCTGGATTTAAAGTAAACATTTGTTAGTTGTTCTTGTACTTCTTCAGTATCTAGGTAACCAAGAGAGAGCAAGAGAAGTCTTACGCATTATCTGGGAAGGGTGATAAATCAGATGTGTGTGACATTTTCATTTACAGGTTGATGGAGTAAACAGCATGGAACATGGAAATCAGAAATGAGCCTGGTGTTAAGTGATATAATAGTTTAAAGAGAAAAGTGGTGATGATACGTTCAAATGTTGCAAGTTTTAGATGGAAATCTCATGGTGCTAAGAATTCTAATCTTTTTCTCTCTTTTTTTATGAGCAGACAAAGAAAAAGCGATTTGTTGGAAGATGTGTTTCTGTCTTTGTTAATGATCACTAATTTTGTATCTCGCTGTCAGTCGGTGTCCGTTTAACGTCTTGATGCATTCTCAATCATCCAGGAAAGAAAATCTCCAAAAGTTGATTCTGTTCATCTGGACGTAGCGTTTTGTGGGAGAAACGTTTCGTCACTCATCCAAGTGACTTCTTCAGTCTCCCACAAACGCTACGTCCAGATGAACAGAATCTGAACAGAATCAACTTTTGGAGTGTCCGTTTAAGTTTCGATATGTATCCTTATTTTATCATGAAATGGGAGATAACATTACATGACCTTTATTTATTTATTTCATATCACTTTTTCCCCCCCCCAGGGAGCCAACAACATTCAGGTACGGAGGGCTGTGAAAGACACACTTTCTAACCCTCAGTCTCCCCAGCCGTCCCCTTACAGCTCCCCAAAGTCGCAACACAAGACCCAGCAGAGCTTCCTGCCCCCAGGATGGGAGATGAGAATAGCTCCAAACGGACGGCCTTTCTTCATCGACCACAACAGCAGGACCACCACCTGGGTGAGCTAGCACATTGCTGTTTAGGGATGAAGAAAAAACGCTCTGTGATTTTTAATCTAGTGATTAGAAAATGTGGGGCAGTAGTTAGTGTTGGTCTTTTAGTGACATCTGGTGGTGGTAAGGTCAATTTTATGTACACTGACAGAGCTGCTTTTTTAACTTTGATATAGAGAACAAAGTGCACGTTTAGAGTTTGTTGTGCTTTTTCCAATATAATTGTTTACTTTCCTGTCTTTTACTGTTGACAATCAGGAGGATCCCAGGTTGAAATATCCGGTCCATATGAGGAATAAGAACTCAATGGAGCCTGGTGACCTTGGCCCTCTTCCTGTAAGTACAATTACTATAAGACTAAGTAGATATTTAACCTTTGGCCTGCAATGGAGATGCAAAACAACCTCATGAATCACAAAGACTACATACCTTTGTGCACTCATCATTAGCAATATGTACTCCGTCTTTAATGTGTGTGTAACAACTCTGCTCTTCTGAAGCAGTACAACCATGTAGTCTTAGCTAAAGTAGAATCAAGCCAACATATTAATTGGCTTTTTGTGTTATGGTGCATGTTGTAATCAGCATGTGATTGGTCTGTTTATGTTTAAAATTAAAATATGAAAGAAATTACTTTGACAGTAAAATATGAAACTTCATGTGTTCATGTGATCAGACTCCATTACACATTTCCATTTTTAGTCCTGTAAGAACAGAAGCTGTTTGTGTGAAGCTTACCCAAGAGGGTCTGGGGACTGTAATAACCTTATTAGGAGGTGAAACCTTCCCTGGAAGTGGGCAAAATGTTACTGTAGCTAGATGTAGTATTAATAATAAGAATATTACTAATGACAGTAATAATAAAAAAAGCTTTATGGGTTTGTACAACTCACAGGCTTGTGTGGTGTGTGTGCATGTGTGTATGTGTTCTCTCTCTCCCCCTCTTTCTCTTTTCTCTTCATTCTGATGGATCTAATGTATGCTTCTTCTACACCTGGCCATGTCTGTTTGGCAGAACCTACCAGAGGAGGTTGGTTGGTGCCTCCCTCCCTCTGCCTGCCTACCTGTCTGGTCCAGTCCAGTCTGGTCAAATGCCTGCAGACAGCCTTCTGTTTTCTTTTTTCTTTTTTTTTCTCCTCTCCTCTCTTTCTTTCTTTCAATCTTTTCTTTTTTCATGACCAGCATGGGTGGATTGTCGCTCTACCTCCTTGGTATTTTACCCCACTTCCTCTCTCTGTGTGCAGCCTCCTTGCACCACTGCCGCTCCTTCTGTTAGTGTTTAACATTTGGAGCTCCCCATCATTGTCCTTGGATCTCTCAGTCTGTATCAATGTCTGAGAAAACGGTTAACACTAGACGGATTTCCCAGGCATTTGTTGGAGTTGGGCTGACTGAAGGAGTGAGACTAGAGTACATAATGGGAGTAAAACAATGAGGGAGGGAGGTTTCAAAGGAAACACAAGGAGCTATATATATATATATATATAAATACATATATATCAGAGGAAGGAATTGGCTGTATGCTGCATGTATTCTCAGTTTTTTCAGCCTGGTCTCCACTCATGCAGCAGCAGCATACTTACACATATACCGTACGTCTTGTAGCTACACCTTGTTCAACAGATTGAACTGTGCCTTTCCCCCCACCCCTTTACACTCAGTCTACTGTAATGTTTTTATTTGCTTGATTGCTGATGCCGTACGAGTGTGTGTGGACTGTGACACTGTACTGAGTGGTCACCGTGTCAGTCGTGATATACTGGTTTGAACTCATAGTGGTGATTTAACCTTTATGTTGTGGTCGTATCCCTGCCTTGCTGATGTGCCAGACCGAACTCAAATAAGGCACAAAATCCTTTCATTTCCTTTGTCGGTGTTTGATTGAGCTTACCTTGCTTGCAGTGCTGGGATGTCATTGTTTGGACCATTTAATGGTCACTGAAGTTCAATTAAACATAAATTTGAAGAAAAGGAAAAATAAATGGATGGATTTAAATTGCTATTTGAGCACGGCCTGTTTATTGGTGCTTTCTAGTAGATTCTTATTCTTCCTCTCTTCTTCTTCTTTTTCAGCCTGGATGGGAAGAAAGAGTTCATACAGACGGACGCACCTTTTACATCGACCACAGTAAGATGCCTTTTCCATGCTTGCATTTGGTTATGTGTGCAGTCATGTGAAAAACCAAGTAACACCCTGTTATTCGGTTGCTTATAGAGCCACATTTAGCAGCAAGAAACACGAGGTAGCTATTTTCTGGATGACCTTATCAGTCTCTCGGATTGTTCTGGAGGAATTTTGGCCCACCCTTTTTTTATAAAGATTTGCTGCTGTGCTTGGGATTATTGTCCTGATTAAGCCTTAGCTGTCAGACAGATGGCCTCATGTTTGACTCTAGAATACAGTTCATGGCTGGGGAATGACTGCAAAGTAAATTTAAGCTGTGCTAAGATGGTGTGTTTGATTTTTAGCAAATGTGGTCCTGTGAATTATGGCAGAATATCTCCATTTTGATATCTCTACCTGCAGTTCTGGGAATCTGTATTTCCCATTGGGTTACCTTGTGCTGTTACAGTTTAACAGCTGTACTACATTTTGTGTACTTACCTTCTACTGTACTTTCTTGCTGGATCCAGTTTATGATCATCGCTATGTTACAATGGACTTTTACTAATAACGTTCTCTCTGATAGCAGTCAGACTGCACTCTTCTTTAATGCCGGGATGTTTAACTCCTCCGGATACTTTACATCACTTCCCACAAACTGTTTTAGACTACTCAGGAATAGACTTTTCCCTCGATTTGGCTCTCTCATGAAGGCTAAGTTCCAAACTAGCTGTTGGTGTTCACCTGATCTGACTTGAAGACAGTCAAGTATTTCACCTCACCAACTCTGACCTCCATGCCATCCTTTTGTTGAGTTTCATCTAGTCGCATCAAGTCTGTTAGTAAATCAGACCTAGTAGATATGTTAGGGCATGGCTTTAGCTTTTGTTGACATCATCATCAAATCCTTTGAATAGTCTATCCCTGCAACACGCCTATTCATGAACTCAGTGAACCCTTTCACTTTGGCTTCAGAACGCACTACAGCACAGAGACTGCTCTCATCAAGATCACAAACAACCTTCTCATTGCTGCAGACTCTGGCTACATCATCATCCTCATTCTCATCATCCTCTCAGCAGCTTTTGACCTGTTTGTTCCTGTGGCAGCAGTAAGGGTGTACTAAGTTTTTTACAGGATAGCATGGAGTCCTATGAAAACCTTCTTTTTCACATTATATTGCTTTTCTGCCATTATTTTTGTTTCCTATTTACTCAAACTGGTTTCAAACATCTGTTTCGTCCCAGTGTCCCTGAACATAATTTCTTAAAGATACAAATGAAATGAAGTAAAATTATGTTCTGTTGTGTTCATTTTATCCAGATACAAAGAACACGCAGTGGGAGGACCCGCGTCTACAGAGTCCAGCCATCACAGGACCCGTGAGTTGTTTCCTCTTACTGCCCCACTTGTTTAGGGAGTCGCTACATACAAATGACAGCTTTTTCTCTTAACATAGCAGTTCTATCTGCCGTGCACTCTCATCAGCCCCGGCCCGTCTGTGCACAGCAGAGATAAATCACTTAGTTGTTGCATTTGTCACTTAACATGCTAACCTGGTGTCCTTCTGTGTACCACTTCAGACTTCACTCTCACTGGAAGGTCGCCACCATGTTGCGCTTGTGTTCACACATTTATATCAGGAAACCCAACGAGGAGACTGATAATTTTTGACTGTTTCTTGACTTCTGTGTTTTGTTTGTCTTTGCAGGCGGTTCCCTACTCCAGAGAATTCAAGCAGAAATATGACTACTTCAGAAAGAAATTAAAGAAACCGGTAAGACTTTCTATCCTGTGTCTCTAGTTTCTGTCTGTGCTACTCTTGCATAATGACACATTGACATTACTTTCTTCTAAAAACTGTCTTGTTTTAGCTGTTTCTATTATTATTATTTCCAACAAAACACATGTTACAGTTTTTACTTTTAACCATTTCAGGCTGACATCCCTAATCGATTTGAGATGAAGCTACACAGGAACAACATCTTTGAAGAGTCTTACCGTCGAATCATGTCACTAAAGAGGCCAGATGTTTTGAAGGCACGTCTATGGATCGAGTTTGAATCGGAGAAAGGATTAGACTACGGCGGTGTGGCCAGAGAGTGGTTTTTCCTCTTATCTAAGGAGATGTTCAATCCTTATTACGGCCTTTTCGAATACTCTGCCACGTAAGTGTCTGCTCGTTTGTGTGCGCCTCCTTTAAGAGCTGCTTTTGAGACTGAAGAAAGGCGTTGAACCCTTGAGAATTCAACAGGATCTGACACACCACTCAGGACATAGTGTTACACAAAGCTAGTCGTAAAGGAACCATTCTTTCTGTTCTGAGCCATGAAAACATCCATCTCTACTCATTTATTGCGTTAGCTGTTGAGGGGCAGTGCTGCCGTGTCACCCCCATGAGACTTGTGAAAGTTTCCTTTTACTTTGATTAGCTTTTCCTCTTATTCAAAAAGCCAACGTCGAACAAGGGTTTCCCACACACAATACGCATTAAGGTGGTCAAAGTGTCTTATGTTGTACCGTCATCAATATGTAATGACTTTGTTCTCACATATTTTTGACATGAGGTACCCAAAGAAAATAAATGGTGACATTTAAGGGCAAAGAATTGAAAATTTTAAATGGAAAAAGTAGTCTATAGATGTGGTTCAATGAAAAGCTAATAAAACTTTTAGAAATCACCTTAAAAGATGTCTGTCTCCACTCCACTGTTCCTATTTGTTTGTGTTTTTTGTTTTTTCTTTTCATTGCTTACCTAAATTACTTACTTTGTGCTGTGTATGCTTTTAAACGTCTACTCTTATGATATCGATATTACTGTCTAATCGAATACTTTTTTAAATCTGTGCTCATGTCTTTCCAGGGACAACTACACTCTCCAAATTAATCCCAACTCTGGCCTATGCAATGAGGATCACCTCTCCTATTTCAAGTTCATCGGGCGTGTTGCTGGAATGGCCGTGTTTCATGGAAAGCTGCTGGATGGTAGGCGACTTGATTGTAGAGGATTGCTTTGATATTGCAAAGTTGGCACAGAATTTTAGCTCGGTTAAAGCAGTTTGTCACTTGTGTTTTTAAACGTGTTGTAGAATGTAGAAAATAAAAGTGATGTTGATGATTATCATCATGTTTTGGGGGGTTTTTTGTGCCTCTTTTCAGGTTTTTTCATCCGACCATTCTATAAGATGATGCTAGGAAAACAGATCTCTCTTAAAGACATGGAGTCTGTGGTAAGGTTTCTTTTTGCACTACAGAGACAGTGACTTTGGATCCGTGAAATATTTATTCCTTGAACTTGCTTTACTAAAATAAATATATTTTTGCTTAGCTTTCTTTGGAACAGTTTCACATTGATGAAGTCAAACTCTTCTTTCTCACAAGGGAAGGCCAATGAATTCTTTAATTTTCTTTGTGTCTAATAGGACAGTGAGTACTACAACTCTCTGAAGTGGATTCTGGAGAATGATCCCACTGAACTGGACTTGAGGTTTTGCATTGATGAGGACAATTTTGGGCAGGTGTGCAGGCATCGAAGCAGTCACTTTTAATCAGTTAAAACCTCATTTTAATTTCAGTATACTAATGTTATTGCGTATCAGAAGAAAACTCAGCTTCTTCTTTTTTTTTTTTATCCTTCAGACCTACCAGGTTGACTTGAAGCCCAGTGGCTCAGACATGGTGGTCACCAATGACAACAAGAAGGAATACATAGAGTAAGTATTTTGATTTTCATGTCATCCGTTGACTCATATTTATAAACAAAATTGCAATCATCTGCTCATCTACAATAATATATGAATTTTCCCTCCGTCAGTCTGGTCATTCAGTGGAGATTTGTCAATCGGGTCCAGAAGCAGATGAACGCTTTCTTGGAGGTATTTATGTACAGCCATATGCTTACCACTCGAGGGCAATGTGGCCACTGATTTTTAGTTAGTTTACCTAAACCTTTGGGGTGGCTAAGAGCCTAAGAGGCAGGTCATCTACTAATCGAAAGGTTGGTGGTTCGATCGCTGGCTGCTCCAGTCTGCATGCCTAATATCCTTGGCCAAGATACTAACTCCAAGTATGAATGTGTGTGAATGTTAGCTAGAAAGCACTTACATAAACAAAGCATAGAAAAGTGCTTGTGTGAATGGTTGTTGTATAGAGCACTTTAAGTGCTCAGGTAACGTAGAAAAGTGCTATATAAGGACCATTTTACCATTACTTAGTTTAAGAGTTGAAATTAAATTCTTCTAAACCTGCTTACTTGTTATCATAATTCTTTTTGTTTAATTTTCAGGGCTTCACTGAGCTCATTCAAATAGATCTGATCAAGATCTTTGACGAAAACGAACTGGAGGTATGAATATCTTTCTAGTAAAGCTGAAAGAAAAGTTTAATTCATTAGCCAGTGGGTAAAATTAATTGTTTTTTAAATCAATATACTACTTCTGTGAGAATATTTTATCCTACTCTTAAGCTGCTTTGTCATCTTTACTGTCTTAAGTAACCTTGCTTGCTGGGAAACGTATATTAAACCACTTATTTAAGGCTATAGCTGAAAGATTCGTTAAAATTTCTGTTAAGGGTTTATTTTATGGTAAAATGTGGCACCGGGTGTAAATGCTGTCTTTTTCTTTTACCTCCGTCTCTCTGTAGCTGCTCATGTGTGGTCTGGGTGACGTTGACGTCAACGACTGGAGACAACACACCGTTTACAAGAATGGCTACTGTCCCAATCATCCCGTCATACAGTGGTTCTGGAAGGTATGCTCATTACTCAGTTACACAGTTCGAGACTCATAACTGGATGCAGCAGAACCATTTAAACTTTGTTAGTCTACGTGTTTCTGGACGTTTCATCATAAAAGCACGTTTCCCTCCATCTGGCCTGCGAGTGGAAGTTGCTGGCCTCGTTTTTGAAGATCAAAGTCTATTTGGAAGAACAGGCTTGTTTGCTCTGATGAAAGTGGTACCTGCCCCTCGTTATCATTTGTCTTGACTTGAGCGTTAACACACTCACACAGCAAACACACACCAGCCACAGAGACTGCTGTGTCGTGTCATCTGATTAAGGGCTTCGACCGCTTCAGTTTCATTTTGTGTCATCACTTTTTCCTTTAATTTTTTTATGTGTTCAAATGTACATTTATAATCTGCATATATTTGTAAGGACACTCGTTGACATAAACCTACCCTCACCGCTCGCCAATTAGTTAACAACTAGTTTAATAACTAACTGTTAACCCTAAAATGCAGTCCAGCAGTTCTTTGAAGTTCTTTGAAGGTCACAAAGTGAGACCGTCCATGTCCTCATGCCAGAGATCTAAAACTTCATCCCCACACAGACATGCGCAAAGGCAAGATTGGAAAACTATATGCAGAAACTTTCCTCAAATATAATTTTGTGTTGAGTTGATGGGAAAGCATTAATAAAGACAGTGTTATTTATTTATTTTTTGATTGAAAAATGTTGTTGACTTTTGGGAAATTGAAACGTTTCTCTCTCGTCAGGTTGTCCTGCTGATGGACGCTGAAAAAAGAATTCGACTCCTCCAGTTTGTCACTGGAACATCACGAGTGCCCATGAATGGTTTTGCTGAGCTTTATGGTACGTGTTTGGTGTTTGTGTGGTGTTTTCTACTTTTGTAGCAGTGTTAGCATATACTCGGCCAAAACAAGATGCAACAAGGTCACAAAAATCCTTTTCTAACAAATTGTGGTCCATTTACCACATTGAGTAAATGTAATTCCATACATAGCAAATCTTGACATCTCTTTCTAAGTTGTAAAAAGTCACATTGATTTGTTTAAAAGAAATCCTTTGTTTTAGATTTATTTGTACAGCTTTACTTGACCCAGTATTTCCATTTTAAACAAAAAACATATGTTTATGTAAAATGCAGTAAATATCCAAAGGCTTTCCTGCAGCCAAGGTCTTAAAGGGTTTAATTTGTCCTCGTGTGTGCATCAAGAGTGGAATCATAATTGTTTCTCCCGTTGTGCCAGGTTCTAATGGTCCTCAGCTGTTCACCATCGAGCAGTGGGGAACACCAGATAAGTTGCCAAGAGCTCACACATGGTATGTCACTGCTGCACACACTCACAGAACAACAAAGCCGAGAGTCTGCAGCTGTGCTAGCAGCTCTGTGAAACTGCACAGTGGTGCTTAGCAAAAAATCGTACATACTTTCAGTGGCATTCCCAGCAGGCACTTAAAGCTAAACTGACAGGAATCTCAGCTTGGCAGAGTTTTTGTCACATGCAAGGTAAAAGTGTGCAGCTGCTAAAGGTTGTTTACCATGTTATCTTTTTAAAATGTGGGAATGGTACCAGCTAGTGTGAAGACATTCATGTTTTTGCCCCCTGTTGACCAAATTAAACTCTGCAGTAATATTCTTGGTTTTGAGTTTGTCGGTCGTCCAGTCCAGTGTTCAGTGTGTGCGGTCTGTGTTCTTCTCTTTAGCATCATGGACTGAATTTGTAGTTTTTATTTTTTTTTGTAGCCACGCAGGAGAACGTATGAGCTAAATCGTACTTTTGAGCTTTTTTCTCAACTACAATGTAGCACTACTGCCACTGTTTTATATACTGCCATAGTATTTGAAGCCCTTTTGTATGTGAAAGGTTTACACAAGTCTTGTACAGAGGTTCACTGCATATTTGCAGTTCTTCCTATTATCTCATGTGACAGACAGATTGGTGGTGCATCAATGGTCATGTGGAGATTGAACTGGTCTGTCATGGTAAGAAGTGAAGCTGTTGATGTACTGGTCGATCTACGTTCTCAACCTTAACTATGATCGTGAGCTGTGGGGTAGGACTTTAATAATGAGACGGGGTTGGGTTTTCTCTGAATTACTGTAAGATCTTTAACTTACAGTAAAAAGTGCCTCCAGGCAACTATTTGGTGCGATATAAATGAAAATGACTCGAGTGATCACTGTGGATGATATGAAATTGCCACATACAGAACCAAAAAATGTAATTAATTAATTTATTTAAAATGTTACCTTATTTGTTTTACCTGTTTTTCTTTTCCAGTTTTAACCGCTTGGATCTACCCACCTATGAATCATTTGAAGACCTGAGAGAGAAGCTCCTGATGGCCGTCGAGAACGCGCAGGGCTTCGAGGGAGTCGACTAGAACGGCTCCCTCCAACCGCATCCAACCCGCCAACGATAAGACAAAATGAAACGGGGATGTCAAACCAGCTGCTGTAGCAGTTCTGTGCAAGCATGTTGTACTGTAATGCCTGACTGCGAGCCACCTCCACTGCACGGTGGTTCGAGACTGTACAGCGACTTGTCGAGCCAATATGCCTACGTCTTTATATCTTTTCGGTTTGGGTAGGTCCCTCCTTTTAAGGTGCTGGGGAAAGGAAGGGAGTGTCGCACTGTTTCGAATGCTGAATTCTGTTATCCACAGGCATGAGCAATGAATGACGGGAGCTGGCCCCTGATCCGCTGTTTCTCCCCCCTCTACCCTCGTCCTGTGAAAATCTACAGTGCTGGAAAACACCAATGCATTTCAATAGCTCCTTTATGTACACTATAGCACAGTATTTGCACCGTCTTCTACAGAGGGGTGCTTCGCATGGCCTTAATCTGGCTTCTACATGCACTATTTCTCTAAGAAACTGCAACGGCACTATGATCACAACTCTCTCAAATCCTTAGACCAACACCAGATTACCTTAGGAATGCTAGCCAATCACATTTCAGGAAATTGGCCACGCCCCTCCGTAGAGCCTTGTCTGCACTGTGTGATCAGAGATCACCATGCAGCCTTTTTTGTAGAATAAAGTTTTCTTTTTTTTCAGGCACTAATAATGATTCAAAGATAGGGGATGAGTTCCCAGAGATGGGAAAAAAATTTTCTCCTTTAAAAAACAAAAAACAAGCAACGTTTTGTCATCATGGAACATGTTTTCTTTTGAACATTTGGTATAACTCTTCCAGGAAAGTACTCTCAGTGTATTTGTACTGATGAACAATTGTTCTTTACTATATATGCCATGGTGTGTGAAGTGAAAATCTGGCTAGTCTGGGAAATGATGACTCCATATCATTTGTTACAGTGATAGCAAATGTGTTTAATAAAACTGTTTTTATTGTAGTGCTTTGAGAGCAGCATGAAACTGTATCTTGTGTTTGCTACGTAATAATTTGGAAGTGTAATTGATCTTGAAGTTGGGGAGGGAAAACTTAAAATTAAGGGGGGGGTAGTTTCTCTGAGACGTCACGATTACATTAATATTCTCATGCCTGTTGCTGTTCATAATGCTGTAAATTGTACTTGAGGGGAGATTTAAAAACAATTTTAAGTTCTTTCATGATTATATGAATTTATGTATGTATTACATTTAACAGAAGTATTACTGATCAACACTAAAATGAAGCTGTGCGTGTGTGCGCGCGTGGATGTTTGAGAGAAAAGCTGTGATCCCCACTGAATATAAAGCAGCACGTTTCTTACAAAGAAAAGAAGTGTTTTCTTTTTTTCTATCTTGTTTCTCTTTTTCTAACACTATTGAACCTAAAGGGCACTTTATAGATCACTCTGAGGTCATGTCGCCTGTTATGTCTCTTGTCATTTACTTGAATGTGATTTCCCCCTCCCCTCCTCTTATTCAAAGCACTCACTTGGTGCAATATGTGGTCTGTAAATCTGGGCTGCTGCTACAAAAAGTTGACAGAAATGAAGCTGAGCCTTCACGTCTTTTAATATTCTTTTATCTCTTCCTTTGTCCCCTTTCTCTACATTTCCCTCCCTTCTGTTTCTTCCAGTCTATGATCCCAACACTCAGACTGACTCAGTACAGTTTTGTTTTTGTTGTTTTTGTTGTTTTTTTTTGTTGTTTTTTTTTAAACAAATGAGGGTTAATATCATTTTGTTCACAGTTCGCTGACTTCTGCAACTCTTTGTGGTTCATTTAATTTCAGTCAAATAAAAATCAGACTTCTCACACACTGTGTCGTTTAATCATTCGAGATCCGACTTTCCTTAAAAACGAGGTGGAAGAGCCATGAAACGGACACTGTTTACTGTTTCAATAAAGCCCCTTTGGAGAAATCTGCTCAAGTGCATGAGCATCCTGTAAAGTTAGGATAAATCGTCAGCCAAAAACTTTTGGTTGCTTTCTATAGTTGTGCATATGCTTCTTATAAATATGAAAGGTTGGCATCGTATGACTTAAGTCCTCCATAACACCTGCACGACTCCCTTGAAAATGAAAGTTTGCTGAGCTTTTGTGCTTCAAAGTTGCAATTTGCATCAATAATGAATCAAAAACTGTAAAAATATAATAAATTACAATAGTAAGGATTATTCAGTGTAATTGGTACTTTGTCTAATCGTGCCATAACTGCAACTACATATTCCTCAAATTTTAAATGCCCAAATGTGCAGTGTGTGTAAAATTGATTGCCTTCCAGATTTGAGTTTTAAATAATGATTTCATTTATTAAGGAAAATGAGTTCTCTTAACCTAAAGTGGAAACAAATTAATGACATGAACACTTTACTGACATTTCTTTTTTTTTTCTTTTTTTTTTTTTGCAAAGCTGATTTAAATTTCACTCGCCACACCCAGGCCTGATTACTGCCAGACCTGCTCAATCATGAAATCATTTAAATAGAACCTGTCTGACAAAGTGAAGTAGAGTAAAAGACCTTGAAAAGCATCATGGCATGACCTAAAGGAACTGAAAAACAGTTCAGAAATCAAACCACTGGCTAAAGCGTTGGAACTGCTGCCATTGCTGATTAGGCATTTGTGTCAATCAACAGCTGAAGAGGTGTACCTAATGAAGGGGCTGGTGAGTGTATTTTTAACATGCATTCAGAGACTTTGTCTAACTTTATTACTGACTGATCGTTCATAGAAATTTGGGTGGATAAAAATGCACCTATATTTTTATTCCCTATCATTTGTTGACCTTCCTCAAAAATGACTGACCGTCTCTTAAAGTGTATTAGTTCTGCACTTCTGCCAACTTACTTCACTCACACAAGTTTTCAGAAATCTTTGTAATCCCAGATGGAGCGCTGCTGCTGCACCTTTCCCCCGCCTACATTCTTCAATTCTAACTATTTAAATTCAACTTCCAGGTATCTATGCTGCTGCTGCTTTTTTTTTTTTTTTTAAAACAGAAAATTTGTCTGCATTGACAAATATTTGAAAGTTACTACCATCTTTCTCTGTGTGTGCACGTGGGCGGTAAAGGGACCTCAGTTCATTCACACAGGCAATCTAAGAGTTATCAGCTTCAAGGACGAGCAAATAAAAGCCACCCTGCCAGTCCGGGGACATTTTATCAAGCCCTCCTACCCTCAATCTGGTCACAAACAAACCAAAAGCCAACTTTTCTCCTGTAGCTCCTCCTTATAAACGCTTTCACTCACTTAATAATAAATAAAAATCACAGGTGCTATTGAAACAGGTTTGTTTTGTTCCTGTAGGTACACGAACTTTTAATAGATTTGATTTCAGGCTAAACACTTGTTTCTGAGTGAAACACTAGACCCTTCATGTAAAGCTGTTTTCAGTGTCATACAGGCCTTTGTTTACCTGTCAAATTCATGCACGCTGTTATTCTCAGTTTGGTTAAATAAAAATGTATGAATTACATCTAATTACATGTAGGTTTTATATTTAACATTATAAACAAGTACTTTCTCCATTTGTCTGTTATCTTAATTAATTCAACCTCAGTTTCATTTTTGGTTTTAAAACAATTTCAAACTCCTCTCCACTTCAAGCATCCGTTTCAATATAATCTACATTTCTGGCCGTAGTACCAGGCATATCTATAACTCAACTATTGCAGCAAGTTACTTTTAGCTAACTCTTGTGACATTTGAAACTTGTGGGATTCGTGTGGTTTAGCCATTAACTGTTCATTCACCTGGCAGCTATTGCAGATTAAGTTGTGACCCTAGAACTGATGTTTTTGATCATGAATAAACTCTTAGGAACTTTGGTGTTTAAAATTTAGAACATGTGAAACGGCACATGGCATTATGAGTATTTTAGATTCCTACCTCCAACAAAAATAAGAAATTTCATTTCCACCAAACTGCTATCTGTTTGGGAGCAGCACCTGTCTTAAGTTTGTTGTTGCTGAGCTCACAGTGACTTTCAGTGAATCCTGATTAAGGCCCTGAACAGTTGTATTTAAAAAAAAAAAAAAAAAAGTCTCCCCTCCACCTTCTACCTCTGGTCAGGGTCGATCAATACTTCCCCCGTAGCTTATCACTAATGTGCAACTGGCTGTTTGTCCAAACTCTGCTCTGTCTACATAAAGACTTGGATGGGACAGCCCTGAACCCAAATGCACCACGGATCACTTCAACCTGCAGCTGCGGACGCTCTACTGGACTTAAAACTGGCATTAACAAAGCGACACTGGCATGAGCAGGAAGACCGAGAGTAGAAGAGTAACTGCAGGGAAAAGTGCAACTATTAAGTATAAATGAATCTGGAAAGACCTTTTGAAAATTAAGGTGAGTAGACATTTCCCTCCAATAGGTCTGAAGCTTAATGATTGAACGGTTTAAATTGTAAAGAGCTCGGGACCGTCCCCTGTACAGATTCAGCTCAGATGTGTTTAACACTAAAAGTAGACTGAAAACTCATTTAAGCTCATTTGGCATACAGCCTGACCCAGTCTTTAATTTCTTCATCTTAAAGACGTTAAGGCAAACTTGGTAATTGAGTCTCACATGGGTGTCTTTCTTTCTCCTTCACACACACAGCTGCAGTCATCCCTACAATCAGTTGGAGGGGGGGGAGAGCGACTAGACTGGACTTTGAACATGCTGAATAAGCCTAGAATATTTACATGACACTATGGCTTTTTTTTTTTTTTTTTTTTTTTTTTTTTTTTTTTTTTTTTGCTTCAACATCTGTTTTGGGTTTGGTTTTTTTGGCCAAGTATAAACTGCACAATTCACTTAATCTGGATTTTTCTTTCCTGATTTTGCTCTTTTCCCCCCTCTGTTTCACCAGGTCACCCATCAATCACTTTGCACCAACAGCGCCTCTGTCTGCAGAAAACCTTGTCCTCCAGAGCTGTGGAGTGTGACAATGGTGTTTGTTTCCTCTTCGTCAAACGCCATTATCACACTAAATAGCTACAGTGTGAAAAGCCCCTCGACGTACCCCTTCACTTTTGGGTTTAAGTGTTGTGTTTGTGGTGTGTGGGTTTTCTTTTTTTCTTTTTCTAAATTTTAATCCTCTTATTAAATCTGTTGTACAAACTGTAAAGCAAGACTGTATATCAGCTGTGCCAATGACTCTGTGCACACTACACCAGAGCAGGAGATGGAAATAGACATTTGGTGTGTTTATGCATCATATGTGATGCTGAGCCTCTGAGTGTGACCCACTTTCTTTTTGGATTCAAGGTGCTAATTTGCTGCTGGAGACCTTAAAACAGACCTTGGTTTACTACTACTGATGCCAGCTTTGTAAATGTAAAGCTTATTGCACATTTGTCTCTGTTTACCATAAATAAAGTGCTTTTGATCTGTTGCTGACAGATGTTCACATTTCACGGATGCCTTCAAGACCAAGCGGTGAACAAACACACGCAGGAATTTGTATTCCTTCTAGTAATGTTGACTCAACATCTTTCACCTGTCCTACCACGCATATGTGAAAGAAATTAAACATTTGCGACCTGCGTGCCATGCCAGCAATGTGGGTCAGGGTCTGAAAGGTAGACGTGAGGAGTGGTCAGAGGCATAATGTATAAAGACTGTTTTAGACTGCAGCTGAATAGCTGGAATATTCCTGGGGTCGTAAAGCCTCTCGATGTCAGATGAATGTGGTATTATAGGGTTCACTCTACGTGCCTTTCCCTATACATGCACTGAATGTGGGTAGCTGGAGGACTTTTACACCACTAAAGCCGAACTTAGAAATGCTGAGAGATGCTCACAACGGCTCACACTTCTACATACATTCAAGTGATACATCAACTTTATGGGTAAAAATGTCTTTGTTTTGTGTCCAGAGTAGGATCATGATGTCATTCTAAATCAGTTACATGAACAAATATAATGTAACATTAAACTGGATACATGTTCATCAATTATTTGCCAGTTTGCAAAGCGAACACACGCACAAAACAAACCCACACCCATTCATACAACCTAACTTAAAGACATTTCCTCTAATCAATCAATAAAAAGTCCATTAATTTAATGAACTAATAGTTTGAAAATATCCCAGGAGTAGAAAAACAAGAAGAAATCGTTCCTCGCTCATCAGTTCATCAACAGTCTCGTCAGCCCCAGCTTGTGCTACATTTGTTACCTTTAAAAGATCTCCTAAAATCTAAAAAGTTTATAGAAACTGTCCACCAAACTCTGCAGTATTCAGTCCAACGTGAATCACGCGAATCACTAAAAAAAGAAAAGGTAACAGATTCAATTCATAATCAAATCCTTAGTCCAGTATTCTCCTCCTGTTATGACTTCCCCTTAACTACTGGCCCAAATGTTTTCTTCTTGGGTGGAGTGGAGCTCTGGGGTTTGGGTTTTGGAGCAGACGCTGGCTTTTTGGCTTTGGGCTGCAGGGATTTGAGACCTAGCATCTCACAGTACACATTACACTGATGCAAGGCCTTAAACTGGTCTATGAAGGAGGTGCCACAGTTTCCTTTGAATCCCTTGTATCTACAAAGAAAATAAATAACATGAAGAGATCAGTTAGTGCAAATTCACAGTTTGCACGTAGAGTATCTTTGGTCTCAAAAAAATGTACATACTCACCCTTTCTTACAGGTGGCTATTCCCACATCAGTAAGCTTCATGCCAACTCCTGAAAAGCAACAAATCACATAGGTGTTTAGATTTCTAACCTGCAAAGAAATAGTTCCCACAAAAAACATATTTTTAAAAATTTTATTTTAATTGTTTCCCTGACCTTGCATGTCAGTAACCAGCAGGTTGCCGTCGGTTTTTTGGTAAACCCAATGCTGGAAAGCACAGCATTTCTGTCCTGCCTCTGAATCACGCCTCATCAGGTTGATCTCTTTGCCATCCTTGACTGAATATTTAACAAAGTTCCCGATTAGCTCCTCTTCCAGTGTGGCGTAGGGGATGTCATTCGATGGACGGTGAATCAGGTAGATGGGAATTATCCTGGTGAATGCCCCAAAAAAAGTGTCTCCAGTTAAAAGCGAATTAATGTAGTGAAGAAATTATAACGAGCTTATCAAACGTGTCACTCACTCTGGGATGTCTCCGAAGGCTTCAGTGGACTGAGCAGCAGAAGTGTAAGCTTTGATGTACTCTCTTGCTGTGTTCTGGACCTGGCATTCCTGCAGACCATTAAAAATAAATAAAATAATAAAATGAAACAGAATGAAGTGAACTGAATCAATTGGTGAGAATTTTATCTTTTAATCCAACTTTTAACACACATACAAAGAAAAAAATTGCAGTATGGTCTGTAGAACAGCATACTGTCTATTACAGACACTTTGGAGTTGTAAAATAAGAATACTGTCATTATGATGCATGTAGTTGAAGATAAAAGTAAAACTTCCTTTGTAGTCTGGTAAAAGAGCACTTTTGATCTTTCCTTTATGGCTTATAGATGTTATAAAAGTGTGCTGTTTAACTTTCGTTAAGGCTTAAAGTTTACAATATTGAGAGAATGGCCACTTTGAGTGACAGGTATGTGCTAAATACGCCATTAGCTGTCAAATACTGTGGTGTACTGGGGCTTAACTGCAGTTAAAGCTGGCCCAAGAGGTCCGTTTTGCAGTGTTTGGTGATTGAAACTCAAGTGTGGTCAATCAGCTTAAAACAATTGTTTTAAGCTGCTAGACCACACACCAGCACATTTAAATGTGCTAGTGCTACCTAGCATGTCTCCCTCACAGTCAAGAGTCACTTCAGTCTCCAAAACAAAAAATGATAGCAACAACCATAAAGCTAATCATATATAGACTGTGTATAAAATGTAACTGAGTTCCTGTTATGAAGATTCACCCTGAGCTTTAACACTGTCACTACCTTACTGTTTTGAAACTGGACACAATTAGTCCAAATTAGGTTTTGCAGTCAGATATCTAACGATAACTAACTTGGCCACCATAGTGGACGTGTGACAGTGTAGAGTCACATCACTAAGGCCCCAGCCACACTTAAGAATGGTCTAAAAGCATAGGGGAACCGCGGGTCATTAGGGAAAAACAGGTATGCTCCAACCAGCTGGTGAGTGGTTGCTCAGATTTATAGCCCCAGTAACAAAGGCTTAGAGATTAGTCGGTGAGCTCCTAACAACCACAGCTGCTAGAGAGAAAATGTGTTCCCCAGTCAGTTGACAGAAACCTTCTTTTGACTGATTCGATCGCTGGCTGATTGCTACGGTTCTAACATGATAACATGGAAGATGCTAACATGTCTGCAAACATGCCAACTGCAGCACTGAGACGCAACTTTTACTTTGATTCTGGTTCATGTTGTACTTTCTCAAGGTTTGCCACTGCATGGCTAGAGCTTAGCAAGTGTTTGCAGACAAGTCAGTGTCTTCCATGCAAACTACAGGTGACTGCACCAATATGCTAACAACCAAAGCAATCACAAGGAGGTTTTTGGTGCAGTGCCATCTTTCCAACAGCCACCAACCCCTCCCCATGCACCCTCTCTAATGAGGTGCAATTACCTTAAAATATGATCTGCTTTGTCCTCTTTTTTGACTCTAATGGAGACCGTAATTTCCAAAATTAGCCTCATGTTTTACTTTGTAAAATTAAAAATTAAAAGTAAATTGAAAGTAAAATTGAAACTAGTGAAGAGGCTAGATATCATCAGGAGAGTTAGCGAGGGCGTAGTGAGCTGAGGGCTGTTTTCCTACAGTCTTCTATAATCTCATAATTACTCCTTGAGCCATGAAGAATTACTACACACTAATTGTGATATTCGTACCTCCACAGCCAAGGTGAAGTTCTTCTGAACAAGCTCGTCATTGTTCTTGGTCCCATAGCTGATAGCATTGTGCACTTTGAGCACACAGGAGTGACCTGGCAGTAACAGGGGTATCTGACCCGCATGCAGCTTGGTCCGGAAAGCCCGCCGATGCATGCCCTCCCCAAAGTGTTCCTTCTCGGTGATCATACTGATAGGATGGCTGTCTCCAAAGTATTGATCGGATAAGAAATCGTCTTTGAACAAGAGTCTGGAGAAATGGGCGTCCTCTTCTTCACTACTAACCTCAACAGGGTCAGCTGGGGAGGAAAAAAATATAGACACAATATTACATCTAGGGTCTTCTTTTTAAAGCTCAGCTGTATAAAGTAACATGCTCCTAAATCTTAACTCACATGAAATGGTTTTTGGAGCCAGGGGGATGACAACCTCACTGAGCACTGTGAAATAACAGGGAAAATAAAACATGTAGTTTTCATTTATATACATCATGTAAACATTTTAAACATTTTCACTTTCAAAAATGAGCTAAATTTTTTTTTGTTACCTTCATATGTGAGCAGGTAGTCCAAGCTGACTGAGCCATGTAAGCTGCTGAGCTGGCAGAGGTACTTGCCCAGATCTTTGTGAGAAGCATTGCTGATGGTCAGGGTCACTCTGCTCTCATCCCCTGCACTTCAGACAAAGGGACAGTGTTACTCAGTAGAAGAAAACAGACACGCCTTGTGGGTTGCAAAGCAGCTTGCAGATACAAAGCAGCTGCAGGGAAGCTAAACCAGCTCGGTAGGACATTATTATTGCTAAAAATGACATAAAAGTCATATGAATTACCTTCTTTTCATCTCAGCCAGGACAGTACCCTCTCTGCTCCAGGTCACAGTGTAGGCCGAGGTTACAGCAGCAAACTGACACCACAGGCACAGACTCTGGGGGTCACCACTCACGGGCACTGCCTGTATAGGCTTCACCACCTTGGGCTCTGCAGATATTATGATAGGCTTTAATAATGCCATGTGAACTATGTCTTTCCATGCAGAGGACTAGCTGTTTAATCAATTCCCGTACCTTCCTTGGGTGGAATCCTCTGTTTGACCACTTCACTGTACGCCTTCTTACGAGTTCCTCCAACATCAGTCTTGAGCTCAGCTTCCTTTCCTTTTGCTGACACATCTGACTTTGGTAGTTTAGACTCCAAAATGCTCACAATCTTCCCAAACTTATCCTCTGACAGACGTCGCCTTTTAACCACATCATCATTCAGAGGACTTGTAAAGTTCTTTGGCTGGTGGCCCTTATCGTCTGTGGGATGTGGAGGTTGTTCTCCCTCTGACGCTTTAGCCTCCGATTGCTGCTGGGACTTTATTTCGGCTACATCTGGCTGTTCGCTTTCCTTTTGAGCTTTGCCAGCTTTGGCACCCAACTTAGATTCGAACAGCTCGATTCTTCCTTTTGCAGTCTTTGATTTTGCTCCATTCTCCACTTCAGCCAGTGGCTCCCCTGGCGCTGTATTCTGACCATGTTTCTTTTTCTTCTTGCCGTGTGGCTTGCTTGTTGCCTTCTCGGTTACACCTGTCTCAATAACCAATGTAGCCTCCTTGGCCTCAAGTCCAGATTGACTGTTCTCACTGCTATGATTTTCTCCAATAGTAGGGTGAGTTTCTTGCTGGTTGGAGGTCTGCTGAGCAGAAACACGGTGACATTTGCTTTCCTGTTTTTTGGAAGGTTGGGTGAAATGATGATGACCGGCCGATTTATCCTTTTTGGATCGTGTTTTTCCCTCTGAGGTGTTCTTGTGGGTTTTGTGAGGCATCTTTTCAGTCTTTTTATGAGTCAGATCAGTCTTCTCCGATTTAATAGCTTTGGGTTTTACGGGCTTGGAGACAAATGGATCATAAATATCTAAAGTGATGCATGCAATGTGTTTCTCTTTTGAAATGAAGAGATTTTCAGCGTGGATAGGGATGAAGTTTTCTAGTTCCCTATTGAAGTCATCAATCTCCTCAAATATTGTCTTTCTAGAAAAGAAAGAGTCTATAGTGTCACTAGTTTTCAAGTCTTGTAGTCCTTCTGGTGAAGATCTCTCAGCAGTCTTTGTTGTATTCTGCTTTTCATGAATCAACTCCTCACCGCCTTCCAGAGACGTTTTGTTAGTAATTCCATCCGGGGTTGGCAAGACAGCACTCTGTCTTACTTGGTTGCAACTGTTGTTATTGAGAGAGCCTTTCAAACAAATCTGATCACCTTCCACACTGCTGCTTGTCCTACAGTTGAGGGAAGGGCCAATACTGACTGGAGCTAAGGGCATAATAAATGTGGGACTGTCCCTCTGCGCCTCCACCTGACGTGCTCTATCAAGGTCTGGCAACGTGCCAATAGACACGCAGTTGTCCGCATTAAAATGCAGGCCAGGTTGTGTGTCTCCACCTGGCACGTTTGAGTTTGTCAGAGCGTCCGCGGTGAGGACACTAAAATCAGTTATTGATTTGTTTTCATCCCTATTAACTTCAGATCGCCCACAGCTCAGTTTAGCTTCTGGCTCGGCCACTGAGCCCAGCTGGACAAGCCTGTGATCATCTGTCACTTCACACAGTCTATCTCCAACGGGCTGATAGAGAAAAGGACAAAGAACAACAAAGTGTTAAACTGAGAATTAAAAAAAGTTCTCTTTCAGTTTCCTTTATGGCTGCACATAGACAAACACAGAACACTGTAACAGTGCTGTTAATATACTGCCTTAGGGTTCAGTATCAGGCAATTACACTAAAGACTGATCAGATATTTGTTATTTTAGCACGTACCTTTCTATAGAGCCAACAATCAGACGTTTATAAAACACCATGCTTCTATACCCAATCCACCAGTCCATATGTCCTGCATGCAACTGGAACCCTGACTGTCAGTGTTAAAGACTGTACCTCCAGCTGCGATTGCACCTCTAAGTCAACCAAAATCAGTCTCCTGGCCCCAAGAACCTGTCAGGGTCCTGATCGTGGCTTTTTAAAGGAGATGTGGTGGAAATGGGTGTGTCAAAGGGTGCGTACAAATAGAGAGAGGGCAATGGAGGGTCGTGTTTCAGTTTTCAGCTGTGCTCTCCTCTCACCCTGACACGCCAAGGATGCATGCTATTATCACTGGACTCTCAGCTATTATTAGGTGCCATTTCTGTCAATCCAAAGTTTTCCTCTTAGGCACTCATTTTTCCCTCAGCACCCACAGCTGTCAGTCTTTGAGGTTGGGAGCCAAACGACTTATCCAATCAAGGCTGTGGGTGCAAGGACTTGGTTGCAAACTGAATGGCTCCAATCCAAAGCAAGCCGACAATGCTCGCGAGCCTGGTGTGTGGTGACATACGTGGATTTTATATTCAGCGCAACTCATGACTGGCTTAGTGATGTTAGAGGTATGACAACGCCGACAAGGACAAGAGCAGGAATGTTTTTTAACTTTGTGCCTGTGTTTCTAAAGGGCATGACTGATTTGTCTGCTGGCCAACGATGCTGTTGGCCATCATGCAAACAGACAGACTGGAAAGAGTTGCACACATCCCCCAAGCACGACTGCAAAATATTCTGTAATAGTTCATGTTTTCACTTCATGCTGATCACAAACTTTTACCTCTCAAGTGTTCAAAGATCTATCATCTTACCTCCTTGGTTATTAAATCTGTAGGAGGGTCCAAATCTGTATCTTCTATTATACTCAGTACGACTGGGGTTTTTTCATCGATGATGAAACGTTCTGTGTCCTGGGACTCTGCACATTCATCAAACGGAGAGAGGTCCAGATCAGCAGAAGTAGATCCAGGCATCAGTGTAACCACAGTTGCATCTGCTGTGTTTTCTCCTGAAGAGGCCACCGTTGTACCAGGTGCACCTCTGGATGGGGAGCACTTGTCTCCCTGTGTGGTGGGTGTTGGATTGCAGAAGGATTCAGCCCCCTCTGTGTGATGGGGTTCAAGTCCTGTAGAGTCGAGGCACAAAGAGAGACAGCCTTGCCCAGAGTGGATGGAGCTCTCTGAGATGTTTTGTGCACTTAGAGGTTGATCCTGCACGCCCATTTGTGCCTTAGCTGTTGTTTCTAGATTGTGTCCTTCTTTCACAGTCTCTGCTTCTGTATGAGTATTTACCTCTGATAGAGCCTGTGTCAATGCATCTATTTCAGCCCCTATTTCTGAAAAGGCTGATGTGAAGTCCTCAGATGGAGCTACAATGATCCCAGTCCAATCTGAGAGTGCACTTGCCCAGCTGTCTACTGATGACCACCTCTCAATTGGTGGCCCCCAACCTTTGGTGTCATCGCCCGTCCAGCCAATCCCCTTGCTACCTTCAGGGTTGTAATGTGAAACCTGTGTCTCTCTTGGGGAACACGACAAGTGACTGGCAGGAGAGAGAGCTTCTTGGATCACAGAGTGATGCAAAACATCCCGATCTTCTGTATCATCACCAGCCAGATACTGATGTGCGTCCTGCCAGACCTCCATAGGGCTGTTGCCGCGCTGCGGGGTTGCTCCAGTGACCTCTGCTTCTCCTTCTCTCTCATCATTTAGAAACATAAAGTATTCCTCACAAGCATCTACAGCAGGTGTTCTTAGCCCCAAGTGTTCACTCACATCTGGCTCATTATTCTCTGTGGATTGTTCCTCACAAGAGCTGTGATGACATCCTGTCACGTCTGATGAATCACACATCAGTACATGTTTATCGCAGTCACGGTTCACTTGTTCCACACTTGTTTGTGATAATGGCTGGTATTCAGAACATTTAATCTCACCGGGAGCTATACTTGGCCTTACAATGAAGTCCTGCGTGTCACTTTCAAAGATATAAAGATCTGACAAAGGCGCTACAGCCATATCGCTATCTGAACTGTCTGACTGAGGTGATAACGACCTAAATAATGGAGGTTTGTTTTCAGAGCTGAAATTGGGACTGGAGTAGGGGACAGTGACAGACTGCTCCATCAAACCTTCAAGTGTGAGTGACACAGCTCCAAAAGATTCAGGTGGAGTATGTCCTTCCATGAGAAGAGATGAAGCAGATTCAGACTGAGGTAAAATGAGGTCCTGACAGAGTTGACGTATTAGAGGTGATTTCCTTCCTGACTGGCTCAAACAGCGCTGAACCCTGGAATTGTTATCCGTTGGTGGAGCCTCTGAGGAAAGCGAAAACTGCTCTGATACATTTTGGATGGACGATAAAGACTTTAGGCTGTGTGGGTCTGCAGAAACATGTGGATGTGTGGATTTATCAGTGGTGTCTGAAAGACAGTGCACAGTCTCCGTTCCAGACAGCTTGTCTACTGAGGGGCTGTGCATAACCGAGTCAAAATCCACAGTCTGACTGTCTGTCAGAGCCGGCTGACTTTGGCTGTCTGCGCAAGGAAGTGACGCGTCCATGGGGACTTCTAGTCGAGCGTCTCGGGGAGGTTGTCAAAAAAACTGACAGCAACATGAGGCCGACAAAGTTTTGTGTACAGTGACAGATTTGTTGCACCTTCTGTCATTATTCCATCCCAGAGTACATTTGGATCCTTGTTTATCTAATTCAATATCTGCAAAGTGACACACAAGGTTAGCATAAAATTCAAATAAATAAACAGTTAAAATGCAAAGATGTGAAAGACAATCTCTGGCTTGAGTCTTAAGTTTGAATTTACTTCCCTGAAGTATCTGAAGCAAAAGCTACTATCTCCTTTCAGCTGTCAGTTTGCATTTTGCTTATCTAAGCAGCAGGAGATGGTTCATTCAGAGGCATGTTGCATCTATTTCAAGGACGTTTAAGACACACTTGACATATCTTATCAACGGGAAGCCTTCCTGCCATTACTTCTTTGCTGATAAAGAAGTCTGCCTCGTGATGCTTTTCTTGTTGCCAGTGGAAGATTGTAACCTCTAAAGTCTATTTTCTTGAATAGTCAAGTGGTGAAATGTGCATTGACTACATTATCAATATACTATTTATTTGACGAACCAAAAGGTGCAAAGTTGGGATTCTTTGTGAAAACAAAAGAAGTTAATTAAAAATGTAATGATTGTTGCTAACCTGATACCTGATGTTCATGAAGCGACAGGGAAGGTACCATCTCTGGTCTGTATCTATTATCATTATTGCTATAGTATAGTTAGTTAAGCCCCTTCACATTCATCTTAATTTCAATTTCAGTTGTACAGCAATACCTCACTGTTATTTTTCAGACTACAGCAGCAATTATTTGGTGTCTCTACGTGACTTTAGCATCGTTAAAATGCCATTGCAGACAATCCGACACACGTGCAGCGGGCATTATATGAAGTGTTGATGGTGGAGACTTTAAATCATGCACACTGATATACAAGATTTCTGGAGGGGAGGTAGTGGCACAGACACTGGAAAAATACCAGAACATCTTTACCCGTGACCTGCATTTGTCACATTCATTCCTGCTGCACGGAAGGACACGTCGCACAGCCCTCCACCTCAGATGTTTACTATGAAATTCAAATCCTACCTACTCTGAGTTTATTGACAAACTTATATTTGAAACTGATTTCACAATGATTTTAGACAGAAAAAAAAATCAATGTAAAAAAAACACCAATATTATTTTTCTGTATCACAATAAAGCCAGTTAATTTGATGAATGACCTTAATACCAACCAAAGTAAATTGAATTTTTTCTTGTGTCATGTCGTGCATTTCTTAACCCCATATTGAGACTTTGTTAAGATATGACAGCACATTTCACTCTTGCACATGCAATTCAAAGCAGTTTTGGTGGCAGGATTGAAACGCGTAATGTAAATGTGTTTGTGTTTGAATTCTTCTTGTGGATCTTTCAAAATAAAACCAACCTCAGCCAAATAACCTCCCCAAGTGTGCTGCATCTATTTTCAATTTTTTGCCTGAAAAGCTTTTGAACAAAGTTTTGATAATATCAGCACAGGCTGCCTGATAATGTAAGAGTTTCCTGACAGTCACACATTAAAAATGAGAGGGAGATGAAAACCGAAATAATATAATGATAATAATAATAAATAACCAAGCGTGTCTTGTGTATCATGTAGCACAGCGGAGTTTATGCGCCCACATATCCACATGAAGTGTGACTGTCCACGTTTACCATTCCAAAGAAAGCCACAAACAAATGTCTAACAAGTCATGACACAAGTGAATCATAAAGGATAAAAGTATAACTATTACTCAAGGCATTAAAACAGTTGTCTATCTGGTGAGGTGGGGGGGATTTCCAGCCATGCAAGTAGTACGTACCCTTTTGATAGCCGTATGGTTGAGAATATAGACCTATGATGTAGGACTTCAGTACAAGCATAGGCAGAGCTGGTGGTCTCGGGGTGTGAGTCTATTTTTAAATGTTGTCTCCCCACAAGTACAAAGTCGGTTACCTGATATAGTGGACATGTGCCGATCTAACACCCGATATCTATATTTACAGGCCGTTTCAATGATGGCCTACTTTACAGACTGAAGACTTGAGTTGCGGTTGTTTAATTGTCTGTTTGGTTTCTTGTTCAAATCATTTTTATCCTCAATTGTAGATTCTGATTGCAGGAAAAAAAAATCTTAAAATCTTGTTTGTTTCTGTCCCATCCCCAATAACCCCAGTTTACAGCGGTATTTAAATAACAACAGATATTACACATATAATAAAATACAGCATATACTATTTCAGTTATTTTCATGTAATTAAAGTTCCTGTCTGATTAAACTGTGCTAGCGGCACACCTTTAACAATGAGGGCTATTTTCCTTGAGAAATTAATACCCCTTCAACTACTCTGGCAAAGCAACAATGCCCTGTTGTCAGTGGTGAAGAGTTCTGGGAAACGAAGCAAATTATCTTTTGAGATGTGGATTCAGAGAGTGATCGTCTTATAGTGCTATACAATACTCATCGTATGCTAAATGTGAAGAAAGAATCTGAAGACCAATGAGTCATTTGGTTACTTCAGGACAGTGATGTCAAATTCATTTTAAATCATGGACCACTTTGTTCTTAGGTGGGCCGGACTGATGAAACTACTTTTTCTATCAGCTCAAAGAAGTTTAACTACTCATTTACTCTCAAATATATCTTTATATCGGAAAAAAGAAATTCAAAATGTACACTTCATCTCAGTTTTTCTGCACAAAATGAAATGCTTATGGAGAAATTAGATAGTTACAAGTTTTAGGGCTGAAAATTGTAAGAAATAAATGTGTAAAACTGGAGAATATTTCTGTTCATTCATTGCCCGGGATGTCCTCTAATTATAAAACTGAAAGTATTTGTGAATTACAATGAAAAATGAAAGGATTATTTTTTCACTGTTGGCCCATTATGAACAAAACAAACCAAAACAGACATTCCAATAGTAGATGGTGAAAAAACAGGAAGTTAACTGTTATTTATTATTATCTATTACTTCATTACTTTGGTGTAGCATGAATGGTCATAATGGAGCTCTTTATCAGCAGGGAAAACTGTAAAATATCTTCTCTCTTAGCTAATCTTTCCCATGTTCCTGTCTTTAAGGGATGGACAGATTTATAACTAAGTGATTCAAGGCTGTTGCATCATCCTCCCTGGAACAGGTGAGAGGACGGGAACGGATCATTTTACCGCTTTAAAATCAGCACATTGTAAATAGTAGTTTAGGAGCCAGCACTGTCCAATAAAACAGCAATACATCAAAACTAAGAGAAAAAAATATCAGTGTAACAGATTTTCTATGAGTATTTTGGTTTAATCCTTTCAAACTCTAAAACAACAACAGCTTTGACAAAGCACTGCATCATAATTGTTTGTTGCGCATGCAAATCAGTGACACGTTTCCTGAATGACTGGATGAGGACACAAACCATTGAAACCGTGTCATATCATTTTACTCATTTGTGCCATTATGTAACGCTCGCGTCCTCACAGCTGTTGCTTTCCTGTCGGGGGCTTTGAAAATCTACCAAGCAACACAGGGAATATTAATGGACATTTAGTGTGTATCTGTTTGTCTTCGCTGCGTTTGTTTTTACTTAAATTTTCATTCTTCTGTTGGGATCTTCTGTTATTTTACTTTAGAAAAAAGATCTGAGGCCGGATTTGGTATTTTGTGGTAACATTTTAGATTTAGAAAATGAAATCACAGTCCAAACACATGCATGGAGTTAGGCTGTAGGTGTGAATGTGTTGTTGAGTATATGCCAGCATGCGCCTTGCCTTTTGTCCATTGGCAGTTGGAATAAGTTTTACCTCCCCTGAATTGTATAGATGGAAAAATTATTGATTTAATGAATCTGAACTTGTTATAATGTAACTGTTAAAGGATATGCATTTTTTCTGCCATAGATTCACAGGGTGCTGTGGCTGTCATGATCCTGGCCTAGGTCTGTTTCTGGGTCTTGTGGTTGAATCCTTTGTTATATTTTCTTCTTTTGGAGTCTTAGTTTGCCTTTTGAGTCTTCATCTCCCTTATGATAAGTACATATATGTGATGGTGTTTCTCCGTTTACTTATAATACTTATTTCTAGTTTTAATTTGGGGATTTCTTCAGTGTCTTGGGTTTAGTTTACTTTTTCCCTTTCCAGGGGAAGCCATGTCTGCTTTCCCAGGTTGCCCTTCTTTGTGCGTCTCTTAACTTCCCCACATTTCTCCAGCCAGTTGTGGATTTAGTCTATTCTCCTAACGGACTTTGTTGGAGTTTGTTTTGTTTTTGGTTTAGTTTCCATCCATCTGTATTTGGCTCCAAAACTCTGCATTTCACGATGGCGGCAGGCTTGATCGGTACCAAGTGGACCGACGTACACATTTCTGGGTGTTCACTTTAACAATAAACTGGACTGGTCAAAACAAGAAGGGCCAAAGTCAGCTCCATTTACTGGGCAGGCTGAAGTCTTTTAGGATGTGCAGAACATTACAAAGGACCTTTTATGACACTGTGATGGCTTCTGCTATCTTTTATACGGTTCTCTGCTGGGGAGGTGGAACCACAGAGAGGGATAGGAAATGGTTTAATAGACTAGTAAAGAGGGCTAGCTCTGTTCTGGACAGTCCCCTAGAGCCCATAGAGCAGAGGGTGAGAGGAAGATGTTAGTCAACCTAAGGTCCATGTTCCAATTTCTTCGTTCTGTTGGTTGGATAGAGTTTTATTTGTTACACAAAAACACAATCGTAAAGTATTTTTGCAGCATTACAAACCTTAAAACTATTTTTTAAAAGCATTTGGCAGACAAGTTGCTCCACCACGAGCATGTCATTGGGACATGGCCCCATGGAGTCGTGTAGTCATGGAGAGAAAAGTATCATCTTACCAAAGCAAGATGTATTTTTACACCATGTTGTTACACCAACTTGTTCAGCCCGGCATGTGCTCCCTCTCTCTTTCTCTCTCCCAGAACTTCTAGGGCAGTATGGCGGGGGTGAGAATGGTCCCGCACATGAAAGAAGTGTGCGTCACAGCCGTGTTTTGTTTTTGCGTGTACGTGAGAGCGTCAGCTAAAGGATGATGTTCCATAACCAATTAAGGCGAGGTCACCAAAACATTATTTACATAATGACACACTAAATGCTGCAGCTGGAAAACTTGTCTAAAATTTGAGTGATACAGATTTTTTTGTCAAACATGAGCTAAATAGATCTATTATTAAGAGTTTTTAAACCACTTGACAACATTTTACAAAAGCAGAGACTACTCAAGTAAAAATGTAATGTGTGTCTTTGTGTATGTGGCAGAGAAAAGCAACACAATGGAGAAAACAATGATTTTCTTTAAGGCTGCTCACCAAACATTTTGCATCTTGATAGAACCAAACTTGTCGTAACTTTAAGTGCTTTCATGGAAACGTAGCCGTGTGTTTTGCGTCACCAAACATTTAAAACCTTTTGCCGTGATCTCGTCAATCAGTTTCACTTTAAGATGAGTCACTGACATGGAAAGTGAAGTGAAAACATGGTCTAATTCAAACGTATTGTCTTGATCAGAAAAGTTAATGGTAGGGAAATGATGGTGGGGTGAGCTATGAGTCAGTTGCAAGAAAAGCAGAAAAGCACTTAGACACTCAAGAAGAGTGTTCGATGTATTTTTCTGTAATTTCAGTAAAAGAAAAAGGCATATATATATATATTTGACAACCACAAATGATGTAGTAGTTGTTTTAGGTATATAACTATAGTCACAACCACATCCATCTGTACCTTGCTTACAGGCTGGCTATGTACAGTCAGAGCTTGGTTTTCTTAAAGGGCTAATGGGCTTGAATACCTACATTACTATGCAACAGTCCTGAGCCATTGCTCATTTCTTTATATTTTGCTTCCAAGGCCAGACTATCATGAGCACTAGTTCTCCAGGCTTTCAAAGTCTTTCAAAACCTTTCTTTATACATTGGCAACTTTTTCTCTCATTTTCAGTGCACTGGTGTTGAAATGACTACTCATTTTCTCATTTTTTAAGTTTTCTTCTTTTTTTTTTCTCCTGCTAGAAAAAAACTTTGCTCTTCACGTTGACCTATGAATCACTCAAGCATAAAAAAGCGATCGACCTCAAGGGATGAACCAGTGTTGTGTCTACACATAGCTTAGCAAACAACCAATTTTAAATTATATCTTCAAACATTTTGATATTGGCAGCCTGTTACAAAGAACATGATTTTTTTAACCCAGTTTCCTCCATTAAATCTATGAAAAACACCAAAGATAATAGTTTGTTTTGCAACAAAGGGATTCCCAAAGAGCGTGCGTTCTTTGAAAATTTGAGGAAACCGGACAAAAGAAGAAGTGGCAGCCCAACTATCTACAACAAATGAACAATGTCTGAAAGTCATGCACTTAAGAAATAGGAAACAAAGACTTGACACAAGGTCTGAGACATACATTTGGTCCTTCAGCTGATCTATCTACTGTTTGCCAAAAAAATGGTCTCAGTAGACGGGTAGCTGTCAAAAAGAAGGGTAAACAGGGAGAAATGGTTAAGGTATCCCAAATTACAAAAGATCTGGACTGAAAATCAATAGGAACAGGTGTAATGGAGTGATGAATCCAAATTTGAAAGTTTTGGTTCAAATCATTGTCAATATGTACAGAGAAGACAGGAAGACCAGTGAGTATCTACAGCCATAAACACAGTGCTGTCTCTGTCATGGTTTGTGATTTCAGTCAATCAGTGGCACATAGACATGACTAAAACGGCAACATTGTTGAAGCAGTGTGGGATCATGTTGACAGAGATCAGAATGAAAGGATGCCAACATTTAAAGATGTCCTTCAAGATGCCTGGAGAACTACTCCCGAAGACTACTTCAAGAAAGAGAGTTTGGGCTTAAAGGTGGTCATACTAAACATAAACTTTTTGTCTGTTTCTCAGAATTTGAACTCTGTTCTTGCCTTATTTACTGTATTTCCATCTATGTTGGCACGCTTCAGTAAATCACTGCACCTATTTCCCATTTTCCTGAGATAATATAAAGAAATACGGGGTTGCTCAAAATGTCTGCACCTTACGCTAACACATGGTGACAAGTTATCTTTTTCTTGTGTGGTATCTGCAAGGCATCAAGAACATGGACATGTGAGGCAATAAAAATGTAGTCAAGAAAATGTCATGTGACCCTGCAGGATGTTTTCTCCATCAACCCATAGCGACTTGTCAGATATGTAAATTGTGTTTACTGTGTCAGATAATAACCTCAGCACACACACACACACACACACGCACACACACTAAAAGCATACTTCCAAGTTTTTAATTAAATTGCTTCGTTAGCTACAAAAGCAGCTATAAATAAAAGCAGTGTTAGAGATCACAATGCATAAACAAAGATAATGAGGGTAGTTATTAAGGATGTGAATAGCTGGGCACGTTCATGCCCTGCTCTATTTTGGGAGCAGGTAGGGCTTCTCAACTAACACAGTGAGCATGTAGCTCACTGCCAATGTCAGCACCAGGTGGCCAAGGAACAGGTACATCTGAGCAGAGGAGAAAAGTCTGATGTTATGAAGAACTGTGCCAAATCATTTGAAATAAGCACACTAAAACAGAACGTGCAACATGAAATACTTACAAAATTGATGTCTGTGTAATGGATTGGGGTCTCTTGAAAGCCAATGTACAGGATGATGAAGACAGGGTGTATGAGATAGCAGGCGAAGCTGATATTGGAAAGAGGAACCCAGAAAGTCAAGGATAAGAACCTCTTGATAAAGCCTGGAGTGATAAAAAACAAGAAAATATAAAGACATATAAAAATAAGAACATACAGACTCAATTTCCTTTAACATACTATGTGCTTTCATATATTGTTATTACTGTTAATGTAGAGATATGGGATTTAGTTCATCCCAACACCTGGTTTACCTCCATAGCCTTCCTCACAGGCCAGTATAATCCAGGTCACAGCCAGTGCCCAGAGTGGTCTATGCAGCCCTTGATACAGGGCATGTGGCACAGATGGATTGGCTGGCGTCTCCTTCAGGATGTAGGGCAATCCAACCAAAAGAGCCAAAAGTGACAGACAACAGAGCCAACCAAGTGCTGCCTGCCACTGAAACAACAGACATGATAAGCACATAAGTGTGGTGGCAAATGTTCAAATTCTGGCTCGGCTATAAACCAAAAGGCATATGCTGTTTTTAAATTCTCAGAAAAGACTAAGCCACGGTCTGGGATTGAAACCTGTCAAAATGCTCTCACCCATTGCTTTAACAGTGGATTTTTCTTTGTTGTCAGATATATTCCGGTCAAGATCCCTATTAGAAATGGCCCGTATCTCGTGTAGGGTTTCACATAGTAATACAAAACATAATTCTCAGATGTCCTGCAAAATAAACAAGTTCATTTTCTGGGAAATCATAAGAAGAGATGCATAGTTGGTAGACAGCCTCAATTATGTTTTTGCATTGTAGAAAAAGGAAACACTGAAACTTAAAAACAAAAAACCTTGATATTCATTTCACCAAACGCTGTTTTTCATTGAATCTTACATTGTAGATGGCTGAAAGACTGGTAGCTGCAGGTGTGCAGTTATAATAGCACTGGCCACAATAGTCATCAGGAGGAGGCCACCTGCCACAACCATAAACACACTCCTATTTCTGACAAATAAAACATGGAGGGGATAGGATTACAACCACAGAGATAATAAAAATGTATACGGCTCCTAGTGATGCTCTAGTTCAAGAATGAAGAAATCACTTTAACAGTATTTCAGAATCATATTAAAGGATGTGAACATACAGTCTGTATAAATAAACCAAGAGAGGAGTGGTTGCATAACACTGGAAGTCTAGAGACAGGTACCACGTCCAAGGAATACACTGCACAGGGATATGAAGATAAAAGGTTAAGAACAGGTAAATAAATCTGTTCTAAAATACCCAATGTAGGACTAAATTATAAGTTAAACTTACTATCTCATGGACTGGGAGCAGATTACTGATCAATAGTAAGTTAGCCCACCAGTATGTCTTACAATCCATCACTGTGTCTATAAATGGGAACCAGTAGGGTCCCCACTTGACCAGAGAGATAAGGCCAATGGTTAGACACATAATGAACAGATGCAGTGGCTGAATCCTGCAAAGAGGACAGAGAACAGCAATTTAAAAAAATGAATAACACATGCAGAAAGCCTCTTTTACTTGAGTGTAAAAATGGAGTGACGCAGACACAAATTAATTTGGTTAACTGACCAAAATAGAACACCTTGTAATCCGCTTTAAGAGATAGCTCCCAACCAGGCTGAGGCTCAGTTTGTCTTCAGCCTTGTTGATAGAGCCCAGCAGGGACCTGGCACTAAGCAGACCCCTAAAACATCAAATTTCTTAAGCTGGCAATAAAATAATTAAAAATATATGTTTACACTGTCAATCTGAAATTGTTCCAGTCTCACCCCAGCAGTAAGAAGGTATCGACAGCCATGAAAACAGGTCCACTTATGGTTAGCACATAGAAAGGGCTGCTTTCAACAGTTTTCCTCCAGTCTTTGTAATTGTCTGCAACACAGGTCTTATGAACATAAGTGAAAGTATATGTGTGTTATGGAGTAATGAGACCATCAATGTACTGTCATACCCAAGCTGTTGATTACAGGGAACTGTGCAGAGTGGCCACATATGATCCATAACAGGCTGAGAACACGGATGCCATTCAGTGAAGCGTAGCCTCCGACTGGAATTGATGTGGAGGTGCTAAAAATGCCCTGGGTGGTCTTCTGTATAGAGATTGCTTGAAGGCAGCCATACACACGGCTTTGAAGAGCGCATGTTTGTGTGGGGTGGTTGCTATCTGCCAAAACCAATATTATACAAGGTCAGCATTGTCTCAATATAAATACATCTGTAATAACTGATTCTGCAGCTCACATAATCGCATTATTTGGTTACTGAAGATAGTAACCATAATATGTGTGATATGCAGTACTACTCCTCAGCAAATCTAGATGATGCACTTTGCACTTACTACTTTCTCCTGAACTCCAGCTATTAGTTTCACTGCTAGATGAGCTGCTGGTCTTCAGGGTCCCATAAAGGTTGAGCGCAGCGTTTAAGCAGGAAGACTCTAATGTAGGTTCGACCTTTCTTTTCCACTGCCACCTTATCATAGCTGTTAACAGGGTGGCTCCGAGAGGAATTGCTACCATTACACAACAGACAAACCTGCAGGAGAAAATAAAGTTTGACAAGACAAAAACAAGGTGTCCTGAGCTAAAGGCCTGGACATATGAAGAGATGCTCATCTTTGCTGCACAGGTAACCCTAATGGAAGTGCACATGCAGATAAAACAGTAAAGAAAGTGAGAGCAGTGTAATCGTATACTGACAGGCAGGTGATATCAGATGTATCAGGGGCAATTTTGCTGGACAAACAGTGAGTCATGATCATCTCCTGAGTGGACTGATTGACCAGGATGGAAGGTAAAGGAGGAATGAGGGACATCTGATTAAACTGAAGCTGGTCTGTCGAAAAGTGAAAATTAGTCACGTTTAAAAAAAAAAGAAAGAAGTGATATTGTGTTGTATAGATGATACCGCATAAATTCATTTTTAAATCACTGACCGTAAAGCACCAATGTTTGCACGTCATCTTTCTCACAGGAGTCAGGTACACAAATACCGACAAAGTACTGGACTCTTCCCTGTTTAAGAAGAAAACTTAGTTTAAAGTATGCTTACTTTCATCTAATATCTATTGGTTGTCATGACTTTTTATCGTGTTAGTTGTTACCTGCCGAAGGAACACCTGGCAGTACTGTCCAGAAAAGCTGGGGCCGTGAGCAGAGCGGCACTGCTGCAGCAAACCAGGCTGGTTGGTGTTACCTCCTACAACATTGCTGCCCACTTTCCCAAAAGCATCATACACTGACAAAACACACAGAGGAAGAAAAAAAGCCATTCATTCACAGGCCCATTGGCTGTAAAGATGCATGGTGTTACTATATAAGTAAATCTCACTTTTTCATGAATTTCTAGGTTTTAAAGACACCCTTTAGATAACAAATAAAGAAGAAGTGTCTTGTGTCTTGCTAATTTTGATCACAAAACGACATACACATACTAGTGCATCCCCCAAAATATAGTTAAGTTTCAACTTAGTATCTCCTTGGAAAATAATTTGAAATTTGTAATTTTAAAGTTGAAATTTTGAGGAAATAACCCCAAATTTGGACTTCTGGATAACAAAAAAAAAGATTTTTTTCCCCCGTGGCAGGAGCAAGCTTAGATACTTCATTCTGCCATTTGGCTCTATTCACTGAAGACTAACTCATGAGCGCCCTCTAGGTGGATTGTAGGGCATTAACAGTAGGTTTAGTAGGTTGGATTTACGTGTGTCCCAAGACCCCTGCTGAGCTGGCATACCTACTTTTATTAGTAAGTGTGAAACAAACAGTGATGTCATTAATGTTGCTGGAAAAGGGAGTTAAATAAAACAGATAGGGGTGAATTTTGAAGCTAATTGCGTAGGGTTTATAGTTGGTGGCTCTTAAAAAAAGTATTGAAATAGTGAAGTAGTTGTAACATTTACATTGAACTTGAGTAGCATTAGCATATTTTGATTTATAAGGTATTTTGTTCTTCATAAGTTAGCTGTTAGTTTACAAAAGTATGTGTTAGCTAACAGCTACATTTATTAGCTATAGCCTCTTATCACAGCTCCACATAGATTTGCATTTCAGTGGTTCCATCAGGAGGGTGGTGTTGACCACGCAATGTCCAGTGCTACTCCTTATGCTGGTAGTACAGTTAGTTAGTTATTAGCCTCAAGGCTGGTCTTTGTTACTGTCTCACTGAAAATACATAAGCACACAATGAGTATGAATTAGTTACAATGTAGGTATGAAATGAACACTTTCAACATCATCATCTTAACTATTTAAATATTCTTACAGTTCGTTTGAACACTTATGCAGTTTCATAGGCTCTACACCAGCTGCGCAGGTTAAAGTCACGGATTTGATGTATGCATCGATCAATTTTGATGTAAGCATGACAGTCACAAAAACCTAATCATTGTAATTTTCAGAAGCTTCCAGCGGCAGTATTTTTATTCTCTGAGAAGGTGAAAATGAACTTAAGCTTATGGTCTTGCATTGTCCTGGAGAATTTGTAATCTATTTCTGTATTTTTGACTTTTCTATCTTGGCTCCTCTGCTAAAGTGGATTAAATGCCACTTGCCACACAAGCGCATAAGAAATGCCATACAAAAATCACAATCACTTACTTAGAACAGCATAGCCCTTTGGTTCATCCTGGTTAATTTCCCGGAGAAAAGTGTTTGTATCCTCCAAGCATCTTTGGGACACTGTCAAAATCTGTGTGCTTTCCACTGCTCCTCTGCCCCCCACAAAAAGAAGAAACGCCACCAAATGGAGGATCATTTTGACTCTGACTGTTTCTTTTTAGGGAAGAAGGTGTTTAAATAACAGAGAAGGGAACACGTCACCATTCAGAGTGTACTGTGAAATTCATCTTCCATGGCTAAATTGAATGACTTTAACTGGTTTTCACTAGCAGGTGTAAACAGGATTTGGTTACATGAAGGAGGATGAGAGGCTAACAAAACAATCCAGGCTGTGATTTTTCTCACTACGCAAGAACAACATTATTAAAGTGCAGCTTTGACGGGTGACCAGTCCACATAACCATTTAAGCACACATTTTTAAGTTATATTTTTATTATATACCAATTGTATTTTACATATTCACACATTTTAAATAGCATTAAATAGACACAGAGACACAAAGGTAATTACTTGAAAATTCCTCTGCTCAGTTATAACTATTACTACAATTTTCTACTTTTCTCTAGTGATGGAAGAAACACCACAGATCATCCAGCCATCAGAGTACAGCACTCCAAATAACTGACCACTAGAGGGGGCGATTGTCTATAAAACATTCTTGGGCTGTCTCGTTTTTACCTAGCAACAGCATTGGACATTACACATATTTAATAGAATGCAACCCTATTTTGATCTAATAATAGTAGTTTAGTGCTTAAGTGCTTCTGTGTCTCTTACAAAGAGGAAAAGACCCTACAATCACCACTTATTTTAACTACTTACTCCATAGCATGATTAAAACATTTTGTCGCTGACAGCATTAGAATCTATAGAGAAAAGGAGAGTTTTTAATAAATAATAGACATTTCTTTCTGTTTTCACATTGCAGCTAACTGGTACCTTTAGAGCTATGCAATACTGGGCATTAGCAGCACTTGTTAGCCATGTGCTGCAAGATACTCATAGTCATTACTGGGTTATTTAATTCTAAAAGATAACAGTGCAGTGTGGTTATTTATGTTTATTTTATGTTTTTCATGCCGATTTAGAGGATTTTGAATTGTCACACTGGGCTAAAAAATAACAATTTTGTGTTATTGTCACGGAACACACATTTTGTGGCTTCATCAAAGGAGGGCAATCAATAAAAGTAAAAGAATAGTTTTTCTTAATTTATGTAGCAGGAAGTCAAACCATAACAAAGTGCCACAACATACTAAAAATGAAGCAAAAGCCGAGGGGAACTGCAGAGTGAAACTTTTCTAAATGCCAGTGATTCTTTTGCATTGATAGCTACTGGATTTAGTGTTGAAATAAGTGATGAAATTGTTGAAATTTTTATATTTTTAAACAAAAACATGATGTAACACGTATAGTCATGCAAAAAAGAAGGCTCAGTTAGAATGTTAAATGTTAAAGTTCATGACAGTACAATTAGAAAAAGACTAAAAGAGTATGTTTAGACGGGCTGTCCGAGAAAGTCCGTCTCTATATAAAAAGAACACTGCAGAATAGCTGACTCTTGCATCTGATGGAGCAATGCCCTTTGGAGAGACAAGAACAAAGTGGAGATGTTTGGACATGATGCAAAAACCAAACTCAGCAAATCAGCACAAACACCCAATATCAACTATCAGGCACGGTGGTGGAGGAGTGATGATTTGGGCTTGTGTTCTAGCCATAGGACATGGACTTCTTACAGCCACTGAGTTGACCATCAGCTCCTCTGTGTACCAAAGTATTCTAGAGGCAAATGTGAGGGCGTCTGTCTGAAAGCTAAAGCCTGCCCCAAACTGTGTCACACAATAGGACAATGGTCCCAAACAAATCAGCAGATCAACAGCAGAATGACTGAAAAGTAAAGAATAAAGTTATTTTAATGGCAAAGTCAAACCTCAGATGTCAAGCAGATTGAAATGCTGTAGTGGGACCTTAAGAGAACTGTGAAACAAGCGTGAGCCAGAATGTTTCCACAACAAAGTGAGAGACTGATAAAGGCATGCAGAAAATGATTGCCCTAAACTTATTTCTGCTAAAAGTGGCTAAAAGTTTCCTTCTTTTTCACCTGACTCTTAAGTATTACTGGGAGCGTGGCTCATCAGAGAACTACTTGTTGTTTTATCATTGAGTACAATTATATCAATCTGGCTGTTAGACATTAGTCTTAATAGTAATATTAAGCAGAATCAGGTACATCAGGATGATCGTGACAGGATTTCTTCCCCAGTGAAGAGGTGATGTCTCCTGTGTAACAGACATCATTTATTAACATTTAGAACAATTTTGTTTACAAGCATCAGAAATGTTTAAAAATGGCAGCAGTGGCAGCAAGACACATTCTAATCAACAGACTGGTTCTCGCATGCAGTTTTACAGCGCAAGACATTTCAAGTCTTATTGTCATTATAAAGCAACAACAACAACAACAAACAAAGTGAGGCTTTCGTTTGGGAAAGGCTGAGACCAAAGAAAACAATGAGCAACAATCTTGTGTTTATTTCACTGAATTGGCTGTCGCCTATTTACAGCCAAGCGTACATTCATAGACGTTTTCTTATGTCTCAGAAGTTTGTTTCAGTATAATTCCTGTCAGTGAACATAACATCGCATAACTTGAAGAACCATGAAATGAAAAAAGATTCACATCCACACAATAAGGCAGCAAATTAAACGATACTCTAGTGTCCTTACAATTTTAATGTTATTGTGCTCTTGTTAGAATTACGCTAATACACTGTAAAGAGGACTGCTGTTCAAAGGAAGGCAAGTGCTTTGTCTCATATTTACAATATTTAGGTAAATAAACATTTTAAGTGAATTGTAATCTCAAAGAGCTGCCAGTTACAGTATATTAAGACAGTAATGAAACATCAACTTAAAAAAATATCACAATCCTTTATAAAATACTTCCAAAAGAAATTGGCCCACAAGTGTCTTTAAAGGATATAGTAAAGTTTGACTTCATGATCAGTAAAGTTGGGAGCTTTGAACTCATATGTGACGCAGCACAGGAAAGGGACTTTACGATATCGCCAGTGTTTATCTTAACTTCACCGTCTGACAAATACAGATTCTGTAAGTGCTTCTGATGAATAAACTGCATATAAACAATGCGCAATGTTACCCCCAAATCCTCACATCAAAGCTCTCAGCTCAAGTTCAAATCAAACACAGCACAGCCACACATGCCTAGGGTGACCAACCGTCCTCTTTTCCCCGGACATGTCCTCTTCACGTTCTGTTAGGGGGGATTTTTGTGATTGATAAAAATGTCCGGGTTTTCCTATATTCCGACAGAGGACCCATGTGTGTGACGTCATCCCCGAACTGCTGCTTTGTGAGCGCTTGTTCTGCACTCACAGACGGGACAGTCAGCGCGCAGCAACGCACCTAATGATGTTTAAAAGATCCCAAAGCGCAAGTCCATCTTTTCAGACGAACTGCAAAAGAAATTTCCCTCGTACCGACCCAGTACTGGTAATTTTTCTTATGCAGATGAGGCATACCATTATCTGTACCATTATTTAATTCCAGAGGCTTTTTTTTTTGCACTTGTTGACTTGTAAAAGCCTATATGGCATATTTTATTTCACAATTCAATAACCGCACAGAGAAGTTGCCGTTTAAATATGTTTCTTTAAGCAAGTTCTTCATGATTGAGCCAAGTGTCCTCTTTTTTGGAAATCAAAATATGGTCACCCTACACATGCCTGACAGGGGATTTATACTTCTGTGTTAAATCTGCATCTGCAGGTGTGTTGTAACCATAAACCCTTCTGAAACACAGGCGCTACGTAGATTTGCCTCAGAAGTGTAATTCAGGCATACGAGTGCAACTCAGATACTCAACGAAATTTTCCCTTTAGTGATGCTGAATATTTTTTCTGTCTCTAGCCTGTGAATTGTAATCGACTGACGGTTACTTGTATGCTTCGTGAAGTTTGTAATGAATGTTTGATCATTTACCTCATAGAAAATAATCAAAAATAAATATATATATATTTTCGCAGGTTAATCGAGAAGTTTTAGGAAATTTTAGGAAACATAAAAATGGAAAGAAAAAAAAACTTCACCTAGCTTTTGTATGCTGCGTCACATATTTAAGTTTCCATATTCCAAACTTTGTTGATATGTTAGCAGCTTACTTTATGAAAATTCAAATGACACTAAGCTGCTTCTTTAACCGATTGTCCTGAATTGTTTGATATTTACTTTTACTCCAGCTCAAAGTTACTGCACACGTGTTCTTCTGGGTGTGTTATAAGAAGTGCGGTCTTTTTGTAGAAGGTAAGTCTTAAAGGGCTCCGTGAATTTTCAAAAACAATTTCAAATCAAATTAGCTGCGCTATGGGATACGGAGCCCCGCAGGGGACATGGGAGGGAAAAAAAATTAGGGAGAAAAAAAAATTAAGACGGACTTTTGCGAGATCTCGCAAAAGTTTTAGCCGCATTCTTCGGAGGCCGCCAGCTCGAAGCCGACCGGGAGGTCGAGGCACGATGTGCCGGGAAAGCGGTGTTCCTCCCGGCTGTAGTAGGTCTCGACTCCCGTTAGCTTCGAGCTAGTGGCCGCCAGCTCGAAGCCGACCGGGAGGTCGAGGCACGATGTGCCGGGAAAGCGGTGTTCCTCCCGGCTGTAGTAGGTCTCGACCTCCCGTTAGCTTCGAGCTAGTGGGTGTCAGATCTCCAAAAACGTCGGAGCTCTTTTGCAAATATGTGATGTCTTGTAAACCGAGCAGGTATCTGACGTTTACACAACTACATTCACGCCTCAAAATATCTTAAAAGTGTATTTTGTGACCCAGAAAGAGTAATATTACAACTAAGTAGCTGCCGCCATTGTTGGAGTTTTGCGAGATCTCGCAATACTTTTGCGAGATCCCGAGTTTGTTTTGCGAGATCTCGCAAAAGTCCGTCTTAATTTTTTTTTTCTCCCTAATTTTTTTTCTCTCCCATGTCCCCTGCGGGGCTCCGTAGGAAGCTGAAGCTTCCCACAGTTTGATATATTTTTCTGACAGACATTCATTGGGCATTGAAAGTTTAGAACACTGCTGACTGTATGAGGATTAATCCCATTAGAATATATTGTCCA